AGTATCCCTGGTTTTATCCTTGCTCTTGGAATGCAGTTTGCTGTAGATAGCCCCCGTTGGCTATGCAAGGTAAGATTTTTATCTTTCATGGTAGAAATTATGGCGTTTTATTTTCAAATGTGTTGTTCCTGAAGCTTTAATATGTTGTTTGTGCAGGTAGGGAGATTGAACGATGCTAAAGCAGTTATAAAAAATGTGTGGGGAGCATCTGAGGTTGAAAAGGCAATTGAAGAATTTCAGTCAGTTATCAAGAATGATGGTAGTGATTTGGACAGCAGCTGGTTGGAACTTTTGAAGGTGCCAAACTCTAGAGGTTGTATCAAGGTGGTGGACTTAGGATGCCAGCATGTAATGGCATCTTTGTGTTGAACATTGTATAAGACTTGCAGCAGTTGCCATTTAGTGTCGCCTTTTGCACATGAAAAATCATCAGAACTAAATTTGAAAACCTTACCTTATCTTAATCAAAGAGCGATTAATAATATGAAAAAAAATTATAAGGAACTCCTTTGATTGATCGATGTTATTTGCCTCTCTTAATTATATGCAGGTTTTTTAAAATCAATTTTCACAAACTTGGGAATTCTTACTTGTGGACTGAGATGATTTTTTCATGGTTGCAGTTGCATTCATTGGTGGTTCCCTTTTTGTACTTCAACAGTTTGCGGGTATAAATGGAGTTCTTTACTTTTCATCATTGACTTTTCAAGATGTCGGAATCACAAGTAGTGCTTTGGCAAGCTTGCTTATTGGAGTTACCAACTTTGCAGGTTTGAGATAGTCTATGTTTGTAAAATGAAAAATGTTTCTTGATCAACCTCTCATTCACATAAATTGTGATCATTCAGGGGCACTTTGTGCTTTGTACTTGATTGATAAGCAAGGGAGGCAGAAGCTCTTGATTGGAAGTTACTTGGGAATGGTGAGCTGTACTTGGAATAATTCTTGGAGATGAATAGAACATTACTATGCATATAGTGCTGGTGTCTTTGTGAGCGCGATGTCGCTGTTGCATACATTGAACAAAGGAGGGCAACTCTCTGTTTCATGAGTTTGAAAATGCAAACATGGAAAATATCAATCAAATGTATTTATTAATGCATATATTTTATTTAGCAAGGACATGTCCGTCTAAGAAATTCTGTCTATGTGCAGGCAGTTTCGATGTTTCTTGTGGTATGTGCTATCAGTTTTCCAATAGATGAGCAACTAAGTGACAACTTATCAATACTGGGAACTGTCGTGTAAGCATTTGTTCTCTCTGCAGCACGTAAGATTTCACATATTTACAGTTGCAGTAAACCGGTAGCCCCTCTTTAACAAAAAATTGTCATTTGTTCTTACTCTTTCTTTTGGGATGGAGGGTAATGCTTTTCATTATCAGGACGGCTAACACCACCAAATACCATAAAGATTTGCTGATGTTCGAATTCTCTATTTACGCTTTCTGTTAAGCAGACGCGTATTGTGCTTACTCTATTGATGTTATTTCTCTTCACATGATTTCGTAGGTACATATTCACCTTTGCAATAGGTGCTGGCCCGGTTACTGGTCTTATCATACCCGAACTTAGCAGCAACCGGTCACGTGGGAAGATTATGGGATTCAGTTTTTCTGCTCATTGGGTAAGCCCTTGAGTTTTTTTCCTTGGTTAATTATTTAAAATAACTGTTAATATATATTTTTTTTTGGTTCTGTGATTGATTAAGTACAATAGTTGCTATATTTCCAATTTCCAATTGATATGTCGTCATGGCTGAGAGCTACCCAATTATTTCCACATGTATTTTTTGGATGATAGTTTGCATTTGGTGCTATTTGTTTTATTTATGTGTAACTTTTAATTCAGGTTTGCAACTTCTTAGTGGGTCTATTTTTCCTCGACTTAGTGGAGAAATTTGGAGTTGCTCCAGTTTATGGTACCTTCGGTGCAGTCTCCTTGTTGGCGGCAATATTTGCTACCTACTTCATAGTTGAAACTAAAGGCCGCTCCCTTGAGGAAATTGAAATGTCACTAAGCTCTGATTTCATGTCTAGAGACAAGTGATTGTATGTGGACGCCTGCTGTATCAAGATTACAGAGGATTGAAGTGTCCTGATAATCATAGCTCTCATTGAAGTTTCTACAGTGGAGATTTTCTAGAGTGACTCTTGGTGTTTCATTCTCCGCTCTCCAGGAGTCCAGGCTGCATGGGATAGTCATAACATATAGGAATTTCACATCCAGGCCATTAAAGGATGCCATTTCGCTCTGTATCGTTCTTGTTCGGCATTCTGCAAATGTTGTACGGTGGTGTAAGTCTTATATTATAAGTAATTATTCAATAGAAATGATTTGTTTTGGTGTTGATTGAAGGTCAGTTTTCATGGTTTCACATTAACGTTTAAAATTGCATGGAAATGTGCATACGATTGTCACCCTCAGCGGACAACCAGCAACGTTATCAGCTCTGGTGCTATATAACTAGCAGAGTAGGACATAAAGTATGGGGGGGAAAGTCACTTTCTTAATTATTCTTAACTATGCTTTCAAAACATAAGAAGGCATTGGATTACCATCAAGAGACCGTCATGGAAAATTATAGGTATTGGTTTGTACCAGCCCATTGGCATGGGGTGTAAACCTTCCAGCTCATCTGGTCGTTATTAAGGCAAGGTAAAATTTGTGCGGTATCTTTTTCATTTGGTTCCTATATTTACTAGGAATGGAAGTCAACATCAAAACCATAACTCTGCCCTCCATACTATAATTTCTAATGGAGACTTTGGAGGGCATTTACAGATGCATCACGGAGACCTTGAAGGGCTTTAAATATAATTTCATATTGAACTAACAATAAAAATACAGATTTCAATGAAGGCCTATCTTTTGAGATGCCCTATGTGAAAATCTCACATAAAAAATTTACACTCCTATGAAGGTGTTTATAAACAAAGCATCATGACACTTTGATGATAAGTGTGATTAACATTAGAGAGTTGGGCCAATGGGCTTGGCCACAGGCTGGGCTTTGAATTTGACTTTCATTAATAACATTTATATTAATCAAGACTAGGGCCTTGGGCCTATGAAGAAATTTAATTAAGAGACACCCAAATGATTTCCCAAAATACTTAATAAATATAAAATTTTCGTGTCAACACAGTAAAGCCAGTCGGCTATACTATTTTCTCGAAAATTTTCAACATGAATCTAGTATAGCCGGGCGGCTATACTATTTATATATGTCTATAAAGACCTGCCTATCGCCTATGCGCCACGTGTTAAACATGTACAGCCGTGCGGCTATACTATTTAAAAAAAATTAAGAAAAACGAGTATAGCCGCACGGCGATACTATTTTTAAAAGACAAGTAGGGGAAAACTGAGTATAGCCAAATATATATATTATTTTTATTCAATAATATGTGAGAATTATGTGTATAATAAGTGAATTTTGTGTGTCTTATTGATATTTTTTGTAAAAAAATAGGTATATTAAACATGAGAAATGTGTGTATGTGTATAATACATTATTAAACATGAAATTGCTAGAACGTTTATATCGGTAATAACTCTGAAAAAGTAAAAAATAAAAAAGGTATAATAGATACTCGAGTAATGGCCTAATAGTAATGGATAAGGCTCTTGGGCTATGAGGAAATTTAATTAAGACACCCAAACGATTTCACTAAAGCCTTAACAAATATAAATTAATTATTTTGTGGACATTTTCTTTAATTTTGTATATATTAAATTATAATTAAAATATAATTTTTAATTAAAGTAATTCAAAAGGGCTAAGATTTTACTTAATTACATATATTAAATTAAAGAAGTAGGCCAAACAAAAAAGGAAAGAAATTAATTTTATATTTTTAAAATAAAAAATAAAAAAAGAGTATAGCCTTGTAGCTAGACTATTTATATATATATATATATATATAAAAGACGCACCCAGCCCCTAGGTGCCACGTGTCAAAACAGTAACGCCGCCCGGCTGTACTAATTTTAAATAATTTGAAAAAAAACGAGTGTAGTCTTTCGGCTATACGATTTCTTTTAAAAAAATTAAAAAATAATCTGATTTCATGTCTGGGGTATGTCTGACGCCTGCCGTATCAAGATTACAGAGGATTGAAGTGTCCTGATAACCATAGCTTTCGTTAGTATTCTAAGGTGGAGATTTTCGCTCGGTATCATTCTTGTTCGGCATTCTGCAAATGTTGATTAAAGGTCAGTTTTCATGGTTTCACATTAAAGTTTAAAATTACATGGGATGTGCATACGCATGTCACTCTCTGCGGACAACCAGCTAACATTTCCAGCTCTGGTGCGATAGCTAGCAGAGTAGGACATAAAGTTTGGGGGGAAAAAGTCACTTTCTTAATTATGCTTTCCAAACATAAGAAGGCATCGGATTCCCATGAGTAAAAATGTCGACCTCTTAAAGTAGCATCAAATTATGAATTGTCACTATTTATATGGCCCTAAGATATGGTTTGGTTAGCAAGTGTGAGTTAGGCTTCTTGGGTAAGGCAGTATGACCGTTCTCTTGCGTCCAAATTCCATGAGGATGGTCCAAGTTTTATTCCTTTTTCTGTATATTACAATAGATGAGTGTAATTCTATCGTAAGAAATTATTTGTATTGCGATGATAGAAGAAATTGAAATCAAATGAAGAACATATAAAATTTGGATTTCCAAGTTTTTGGGTATTTATATGAAGTAAAAAAGTGTTGGGTTAAAATTTCGGATTGGCATTTTTCTAGAAGCAAAGCTCTCATCCTCTGACAAAAAAAGAAGAAGCTCTCGTCTCTTAAAAAAATAAAAAAAAGAGGAAGCAAATTTCTCATAATTAATTAAAAAACTGATGGCGGGCGAAAACTCGACACTGCCCGGGAAATTACAACTGTCGATTATGTCCAACTCAGCTGGACAAAGAGTTCGCTTCCCACTGCGGTCGCTCCACGTGGACAGTGCCACCAACTTGACCGTTTACGCGTTGCTTTCCAACGAACCAACGCACGCACACTGCATAAGACTAGCATTTGGCATTTCTTCTCCTCCGGGAGATTGAATTTTCAGCTGTTCCTTCCGAAGCAGCCAAAGCTTTTCTAGGGTTTCTGGAGAATTTGGATGCGCGCGAATGGCTTCGTCGGCAGAGACCAGCGACGGAGAGAACGAGCTGGAGCTGATCGTGCGCGACGCATCAGGTTCCGATGATGGCAGCCTGGCCGCCACGGACGAGATAGTCCCTCTCTTAACGCCGCCTGAGAAGCCCAAAATCAATATATTCACCGTCTCTTATCCTCGAAAAGCGCCTAGGGTAAGATTCCATCACTTTAATTTAATCTAATATTTCCTTCTTTTTTTTTCAATTTGTTATTATTCACGACGAATTTGAATTGTATATAGATGATAATATTGCTAGGGTTTTATTTATCTAGCTTTTGATAGTGTGGTGTGTTTTGCCCTTTTGGTTGCTGTGAAAATTGAAGAAATCTCATTTTTAAATTTTGCACTTTCAGTTTTCTAGTACTCCACATGCAAAATTTAGTTTAGTAACCAAAGCAGTGAAATTGAAAATACTGGTCATGATTAAATAGTTTATTGCCTTAGTGCCGGAGAGTGATCGTTCAGATTTGGTTCCGTCTCAATTAAGTCTAGTGATTGCTTTGTCATTTTGGAGGGAAATGTAGAAGGAAAAGTAAATCAACGATTGAAGTCTGCAAGGTTATTTTTTTGTTGATTACATTGATGTTGTATTTGTTTATAGGATCAGGTAAGGAAACCACTTGAAGCAGAGACATCCCCAGTAGCTCATTTTATTTCATGGGTATGGAGTGGATCGAGATACTCTGGTCTAATGTGTATGGCCATCTCATCTACCATCTACTTTGTCATGGAAGTTTTTTCCGAAGTTCTTTCTGGTTAGTAAGTTCTGCACTCTATTTATGACTCAATTGCAAGTCTCATGGCATATGATGCACATAACTTGTTTCAGCCTTGTGTTCTCTCTCTCTCTCTCTCTCTCTCTCTCTCTATATATATATATATATGTATATTTATTCTTTCATTATATTTCACACTGTTTTATTATGGCAGCTCAGCCCATTTCTTTGCTTGAGGCTGCGTTTGCAAGATGTATGATTATCTTGGTATTGTCATTTGTGTGGTTGAGAAAGAGCGGACAGCCAATAGCTGGGCTGGCAAATGTGAAAAATCTTTTGATCTCAAGAGCCCTTATGGGATATCTCTCATTAATAAGTTTCATTTATTGGTGAGTATGTTTTTGCCTGTTTGTTTGGTAGGAGGATTTACTCTCTCTGGTGTTAATGCATTCATGTCATGATACTTACCACGTGGATAGAAGCAGTTTCTGTACTGTATTCTACCAATATGCAAATTACAGTTTATTTACCGTAAATGTAGTTTTGTAAACTGTGTACGAGCTGATCAAAATGAGGCTATGTTCTAAAAAAATATATGTTATCTTATAATGAAGAGCAGAAAATTAGGATACTGTAGGATCTGAAGAGATGAAATACTAATGCATCCATTGGCTAATGGAAGAGCTATTGTTTTAGAGCATTCCAAGTATTTGGCTAACTTATATTTTTAAGTTTGTTTATCTGTCTGATGTTCTTCATGTCCGCTACAGTATGTTTGAAATGCTTTTCAGACAGCTTCTGAGCTCGGCACTTTAAAACTTGTTTCTGTAATGTGTAAACACCACAGAAATAACTTGAATTGGTTCATTTTTCATTTCAGCATTCAAAGGTTACCTTTGTCTCAGGCTATTGTATTGAGCTTTACCACTCCAATTATGGCTTCAATTGTGGCCAGAGTCATTCTACATGAGAAGTATAAAATTGCAGATGTTGGAGGTATGTAGTATATAATGTTTATAATTATTTATTCTTACTCTAGGTTGAAGATAATGTTGCATATTTGAGTCCTTTATGAAGTTGTTAGAATTTGGAAGAGTTTCTTAAACTACCTTTTAATAGTCAGGAAGTGATTCCAATGTCAATTGTCGTTCATTTTCCAGGTCTTGCGTGCAGTTTCTTTGGTGTGCTCTTCATTTTTCGACAAATGCTTACTACGCAAGGTACAGAAGTGAGTTAACATAATCTATATTATACACTAGATGTGGATGCTTTCAATATGTATAAAAGTGTATAGATAATTTTAGGTGTGACACATGCATGTATATCCTGTTGCAAGGCGTATCTTGCCTTTTCACTTTCTGCAAGGAAACAACTCTGAGACAGTAGTCCACTAAGTGCATGTATACTTTATTACAAATGAGGAAGAAAGCGTATATGTGTCTCACTCCCTCTATATGCCTTTTGAGAGAACGCTACGCATAAGATTCTTGACAAAAAAAAAAGGTTTAGATTTGTATGTATGAGTGACTGTTAGTAATACATGTGCATGGATCATATTTCAGTAAAATCTGTGAAACTAGTACATTATTGCCTATTAACCTTGAGCAGATTAATGCTTGTAAGAGAAATGGGCATGTAAAAGACACTAGCATAAAATAATGTAACATTTGGTTGTTTTCTACCACTATTCCCCGAACTCTGGAATACTAACCCTGGAATTATGCATGAGGATTAGATAAAAATGGAGGAAAGAATACAAGTGTCAAGGGAAGCAGCCATACATATGCAATCTTAGCCGGTATATTTTCATCAATAACCGGCGGAATCAGCTACTGCCTTACAAGGGCTGGAGCAAAAGCATCTGATCAGCCACTGTAAGATTGCTGATTGCTTCTTTGTAAATTTAAGTCCTGCATGAAAATGGTTAATAAGTATTCTCTGCGCTTTTCAATTATGTTTCACTTGATTAATGCTATAAACTTTAAGCAAATATGAAATTGATGATAATGTGCTATTTCTTTTTATCTTCAAAACCATTAACACTGGAACATTGCCATACTACCCATTATGTTCAAGACCGTTTATGTAGCTTATTTCTTTTTCAGTTTCAGATGGGGTTTATACAAAGAGCATAACCTTTAATTAAGATGTCTATAACTGTTTCAGTTCCATGATTATCAAGGCAAGAAAATATTAAAAGCATGTAAGAGATTATATGATATTATGTTGCATTTCTAAAATGTACATCATACAAGGGGGTAAACACAACATTCTATTGCATCCAAGTGCTATCTTGGAAATTTCAGAAAAATTATTTTTATGTAGTAAAACTACCTAGATAAATTCTCTGTTCAATTTTCAGGTTGACAGTCTTTTCATTTGGTATACTGGCTAGTCCTGCTTCAGGAATTTGTCTTTTTGCCCTTGAGGTAAGTTGATGTCATGGTTGCAACGCTGTGCTTTATAAAGTTGTTATTTCGAGTCTGCCACACTCCTTGTTTAATATATCACTGATTGCCTAGCAACTTAAAACCCTCATTTACCTCTATTTTTTAATCTTTAATCTTTATTTTATTCAAGGGAGGCGGAGGGGAGATTCACAATCTTGCCAGTATGATGTTATCCAGATTTATTTTCTGTTACCAATTCATAGAGATCTATCTGATTATAAATTATTAACAGATGCTGACTTTTATGACAAATGAAGGATTATTATGGCGGCTATTAATTTCTTGTTGAATTTATGGTTATGAATTGATGCTGATTATGATATCTTTTTCTTACAAACAAGTGGGCTAGCTGGAGAGGGGTTGTTTCTGGTGCACTTCCAGTGTTATATAGTATAATTTGTTGAAGCCTTGACAGAGTCTAGACAGATATCTCCTCTAGATTATTGTTATTAGTTTCTTTTGCAATTTTTTGAGTTGAATGCTTTGACTTCGTAATGGCTGTGAGTCATACATTTAGCTTCAATGCTTTCTGGTTATTGTTCTTTTGATGTTATATGCAATTTTTAGGTGTGCTAAATATTTACTTTTTTTTCTTTTTTTTCAGGAGTTTGTTTTCCCGGATGTTTATTCATTTTCAGTTATGCTTGTACTTGGTGTTCTGGCCTTCTTTGCAGAGGTGCTGTTCTGAACTTTTCTTTTCCCTATCTTTTTCTGTCACACACAGAATTGTGATGCAATGAAGCATGCACTCAACTATAGACTTCTTTTTCTCCGATAATGCCCCAGCAGTTATGGACTTCTCAATTTGTGTGGTCAATTTCAGGTATTTTTAGCTCGTGGACTGCAGCTTGAGAAAACCGGCAAAGTTGCAAATGTTATATACATGGAGGTAACTTTCCTGTTTGAATGTAATTATCACTCGCATGATTTTGATTCTTAATCATGTAAAATGTGATGGGAATGAGATCTTGTAAAAGTATGGGCTGTTTGGTATGAGGAAACAGAACACAATTGGAAAATCTAGAAAGTGGCAATAATTACTATATTAAATCAGATAAAGAAACAAAAGAAAACATCATGAACATGAGAAGAAATTTTGGTTCAAATGTTAGCCACGATTCATCAACACTCTGGAGAACTTTTTAACCACAGAAAATGCTACCCAGTTTATTCTTGTTTTTCTTTGTTTCAGGCTGCCCTGTCACAATTATGGGGCATTGGTTCCTCAAGGATTGCTCTATCGTTTGGTCGAATTTTTGGATGTCTGCTTATTTTCGTTTCTGTTTGTTGCACCATGTATATTGGACCTGAAAAAGAAATGGAATGAAAGATGCAATTTCTTCTGATTTGTTAAAAGTTGGGCACCTCATTTGTTGTACTCAACCTGTTCATTTGTAGAGTTCTTAAAATTGTATACATTGTTACAATGCAAGGTAGCAAGCAAATACAGAGCCTTCGTTTCTTGATTCACCTTTGATTCTTTTTACCACCTCTATAATCTTGCAACAACTGATTGACAAGCTTATCCTTATGGATGCAAACAAATAGAGCCTTCATTTCTGGCAAATGGATCACAATTACAGGTATCTGGGAGCATAGTCACCAACAGTGGACAATTTCTAGCCGTTGATGCATGTGAGCCTCATATGCATTAATGACTGGGAGTCAACCGCTCCCATGTGGTCAACTGATCCAAGCACAACTCAAAAGTATTTCTTCGTATAGGAAGAAGAGTTAATCAAGTGCATAACTGAGGTTTAGAATTTGGAGAACAAACTTAAAAATCAAAGAGAGCACTATTGCCCAGAGGCAGAGATGTCCTTGCTGGATTACTTGATAGGGAGACCGGAGAGTGACAACTCAGTTGCAGAAATTTGAAATCCTGAGCAGCTAAGCTGACGTTATTCGCTTTTTGATATGCTGATATTCTCTCTCGGGCACATAATTGATGATAGTTGTTGCCATAAATGAGTACGGAAGACGAGCCATTACATTACTCTCCTGATTGTGCCTAAAAAATTTGGATTAAAAAAAAAACCCAATTTTTTTTTTTTTTTAAAGAAAGAAAATAATATCATCAAGTGAGACTGAAAACAATACAAGACGTCTTTACCTTACTAATAACACCTCATATGTTAAAAATAACAATCTTATAACACGTGACTGTATATCGTACTATTTTATAATCTTTTCATAATAACAGACATGTATGCACAATATACCATACAACACTTGCATAGCAATGTAATTTTCAATAGTCTCTTACGATGGCAGGACTATTTTAACTGGTCGTGGAGGTGGTCCTCTTCTTATCGGTAAGTACAAGCAATCATACGGTATACAATCTGTCCTATCTGTTCGTAAACCTCAATTCAGGTGGCCTCATGCAAACTTTTGTTACCAATAAAAGGATTTACAAATACCGAAAATATCGGGGCTATCTATTTTATAAAAAAATACTGCTCGCTTCCTTCACCGGAAGGAGATACTCATATTTTCTGTAAATTACGGTTTGTCACATGTATAATTTGTCTTTAATCACAGTTTGACATATGTGCAAAACTAATTCATCAAAAACACAATAAGAAAAACTTATATACACATGTTATACTGCCATTAGTAGGAATGTAGAAGTTCCTGCATACAGGGAAATAAAAGAAATATTTTCCTGTTTGTTTTTTTAAATTTGAAAAATATCCAAAGCCGAAGGCCCCCTATATTTTAGGCTGGCAATGCATCCAAACCAAGCCAAGTCCACGATAGAGGAAGATAGAGAGAGAAAAAGAGGGGCTTTTTTTTAGAGATTCTTATCTTGTAAGTTTGAAAACGAAAGAAAAGCTCAGATATGGTTTTGGTTAGAAATGGGTTGTGTTTGTTTTTTTTGTTTTTCAAATTCTTCCACGGGAATCGGATTTTTGTGGGGAATGGAATGTCATGCTCATGGTGGGAAACTGGGAAGTGGGAATATAAAAGGGAAGCGAAGAGAGAGAAGAGGCAAGTCTTCTTAGCCGAATGCTCACTCACCCCCACGTGCAAACCGCGCCACCCTTCCTCTTTGACTTTACGCTGACCCTTTATAAATTTGGTCCCCCTCCTGCCACATATTTACCTCCATTGCCCTTCTTTAGCAGGCCCAGCACATATATTCTCTCACTTTTTTTCTTTTTCTTTTTCCAATCGCAAGGGAAAAATCCAAATTCCAAATCAAGACACAATTAATGTCATTAAATGCCTTTCAACTTCAATGGTAAATCATTCACCTGAAAATGAGCCATAATGCAGCTCAACAACTTGCTCTACCTACCTACAACCATCTCTCACTCTCTGTGTTACCAACAATGACCTTCTCTTAACCAATAGTTGAAGTTCAAATAGAGAGCTCTAGTTGGTTTTGTTAACCACTTTGTTAGTTACAATCGACACGTAGATAATTGTCAATCATTAATTAATGTAGAACTCAAATATACACGTGACGACTATATATAATTAGCATTTTTCATTTAATAATTACACTTGTTAACCTTTGATTGATGAATCCCGCCTCAATTGAAAGTCCCAAATCATTGCGTATACGTGACAATTATGATTTTCAACTCGTTCAAAAGAAAGTTGTAATATATGTAACCCAATGCTTGCTCAGTCATAATTGGTAGAGTGATGAATGCTTATTGGAAAAAAATACATTGGAGGGTGATGTTATGGATGCACTCAACAGTCATAAAGTGACAGAAAATCCTTTCCTTGGGCCCCTAAAAACCTTATCAAAAGATTTGCCGTACAACAAAAAATAGGGATAAAAGCGTCTTTTCGGAGTTATTCCATCGGAAAATTGTTGGAAGGTGCAATGGCCCGAATGGGAAGGGTAAATGTGTAATCTGAAACTGTTTAAAGGAGCAGGCTAGCCGACGACAGCAGAGAGAGCGTCACAGAGAGGCTTTGTGTTTTGCTTTGCATGTTGTTCCTTCTTTCTTTTCTCTGTGCCTTTATTTATTTCTAGCTCACTTGCTTTTATTGTGTGCTCACTTTATATCTGCACTTTACTTTGTTATTCCTTCTTCTTCTTCTTCTTCTTCTTTTGATTCCTGGGTTGTGTGGAAAGCACTCTCAGCTCATCTGCTTCACCAATGGCTGACATTACCCACCTTCCCATGGAACAGCTCCAAGACCTTGAGTATTGCATAGATTCCAACCCTCCTTGGGGTATGCTCTGTCTCTCTCTGTCTCTTGTTTTCACTTTCTCTACACCAACTATCTGAATAACAAATGGGCGTGTATGTTCCAGTAGCTATCTCTTCTCTCTCTCTCTCTATCTGACTATATCTGCCTCCATTTTTTGTAATCTGGTCATGGGGTTTTAGTGCCAAAGAACATTGTTTTAGAGATATGGGATTGTGGGTTTTTAAGTTTTTGTTGTCAAGTTTGAAGCTTTAGTGCTTACTGAGATTGTAGTTACTGGTATTTGATATTTCTTCATCGACTATAATTTGAAGCAATGTGGCATAACTTGACATTGTGTGTATGAGAAACATTTCTTTTCAAGAAAACGTTGTTTCTTTGCGCGTATTTCTATGAGTAATGAGAAAATCTTGGAATTTGAACATGTATCGCTATCAGACTGGTGGGTCATGCGGTTTCATTATTTAGAACTTGGAACAGATTAGTTTATGTACTTTGTTTGGTTGCTGGGAATATTAAATTTGTAATTGGTTGGTGTAAGTTGATGTCACATCGTGCTTGACCGAAAATAAAAAGGTTAATGTGGCATCATTACAAGTTAAAGGACTTGCGTTGTGAAATGCAGCAACATATTAGGAAATTCTCAAGTTGAAGCTGTAGCTTAAAGTGCTACTGATGGTGTAATGAGTGTGTCTTCTCATTTCTTGGTTACCAAACAGAGGTTTGGTAGTCATCGGGATAATACTTTATGTTAAGAATATAGTAATGTGTGGACTGTAGTTACCAATTTGCCCATCAGGGAAAAGCTTCTCCATTGCTTGTGGAACTGCTGCTGATTAGTACTTTTGTTATTGTGTATCATTAGTGGCAAGAAGGATGATGTTAGAATTGTGACTGGCACGCACGTGTTAATAATCATGGTTTAGACATGGCATCTAATGATAAATATGTGCATTCTTGAGGTTTAGTACTCAAGACCAATTGGCAAAATGCAAAAAGAAAAGAAATGTTTGCCCTGTAGGATAGATTATTAGGGGTATTGAGAAAGTATGCAAGTTGCTTATATGTATAATTTTTAAATTTTTTTTTGCAGTTGAAACCATAGTTCTAGCATTTCAAAACTACATCATGATGCTGGGTACAAGTGTAATGATTCCTTCAGCCCTTGTCCCTGCAATGGGTGGAAGCGATGTAAGCCCGTCTTCTTGCAAACTAACAACTTTACTCTCGCAATCATGTTTAGTCACTTTGATAAAATTTTCTTCTTTCTGTTATCTTAAACCATTTTCTCGTTCTCAAACAGGGTGATAAGGCACGAGTCATACAAACACTCCTCTTTGTAGCTGGAATTAACACACTTCTCCAAGCACTTTTTGGAACCAGGTTGCCTACTGTAGTTGGAGGCTCCTTTTCTTATGTCATTCCCATAGCTTATATTGTAAGCGACTCCAAACTGCAACGGATTATTGAACCCCATGAAGTAAGTAACTCTCCTAGTACTTCCCTTCACCCCCTTGGAAGTGTGTCTGGGAATATATGCATCAACAATACCATGGCATTTTAATGCACCAATTAAGAAAGAAGAATTCATATACTGATTTACTATTAGCTGGCTTCGGAAGGATTAGTACCTTTAGTATCAACCTCTTCTTAGAGGCAGACCCATGGTTTCACTGCTGGGATGGACCTGCCTTTGAGAGGAATATGCAGAAAGGAAGCTTAATTGCAAGCTTACCCGGCTAAATGCGATAACTTCCAGAATTGGTGAAATCATTTAAAATGCATCATATCAAGGAGCTTAACATTGGTTCAGGAATCTTTGCATAAGCCGTTGGCCTTTCTTTTTTATTTTTACATGTATATCAGTCATTTCAAGACTGAATAGGAGGTCAGATAAGTTCATCTGATTCATAAGTTTTGTGACTCTGATATTACAATTCATGTAAAATGTAGACCTCAATCCCATCAGATATTTCTGCATTTATTTCCTATTCAGCAATTGTACTTAAGCACCTTTCTGATTTGGTAGGGTATTGAAAGAGATCTTCCCATGTCATTGGTTTGCAGAGATTTATTCAAACAATGCGTGCTATCCAAGGAGCTCTAATTGTAGCTTCAAGCATACAAATCATTCTGGGTTACAGCCAAGTTTGGGGTCTCTTCTCACGGTATGCTAATAGTAGAAGATATAGTGAAAAGTTTAAGCTTCTAAATCATAATAGATTGCCAGCATCATATGGGTTATTTTGCAGGTTTTTCAGTCCACTTGGCATGGCACCTGTAGTTGGATTGGTTGGCTTGGGATTGTTTGAGCGGGGGTTTCCTGCGGTAAGTTTTTCTATGACAATGTATTGTTCCATTCAGTTGACCCCAAATGAGCTTCCATGTTGTGTGGTTAGTGCCTCTTTACGAGCAGCATTTCTTTTTCTGGACAATCACCATTGATTTGTTCTAGAATATTGTACAATTCCGGAAGCTAACTTCAAGAGGGCCAAGAGGGCCAATCTGAGGATTTTGGCATATAAAATTTTCACCTTTTTCCATAGAGTATTTACCCTCTCAATGAATTTTTCAATGAAAATTTGAACATCCCATCTTTTCCTGCAGAATCTCTACGTAGTATTTTTATTTTTGACTGAATTATTAAAACCTAATGAGAACTGAACATTGTGACTTTCTAGATAAGCATACTTCATGTAGTTTGTTCTTTTTACCATATATCTGATGGAAACCTTACATTCCACTTTTGCAAATTTTGTAGTTCCTTCTCTTTGGAAATTATGCTAGTATATAATTTCAATATTTGTTTCAGTTGGGAAATTGTGTGGAAATTGGAATTCCAATGCTATTGATGGTCATTGGTTTGTCCCAAGTAAGTGCTTTTGCATTTTGCATTATCATTTTATTGACGCTTGTATTAATCATTTCTTTCCTTCATCAGAGTTTTGGTTTGTTTATTCTCAGTATCTGAAGCATGTGAGACCATTTAGAGGTGTCCCTATTTTTGAGCGGTTTCCAGTATTGTTTTGTGTCGCAATCATTTGGATCTATTCCCTTCTCTTAACTGCCGGTGGGGCTTACCGTGACAAACCTGTTAGAACTCAAATCAGCTGCCGTACAGACAGGGAAAATCTCATATCTACTGCCCCATGGTATGCCAAAGAAGAATTTGCCTTCTCATAATGTGCCTTCTGAATATTTTCTGGTCTTGAGATCTTTTCTTATTATGCCATATCAGGTTCAAGTTCCCATATCCTCTGCAGTGGGGTCCTCCTACATTTTCAGCTGGTCACTCATTTGCAATGATGTCAGCTGTTCTTGTTTCAATGGTTGAGGTATTTATTATTGTTCTTTATTATATTTATGATTTGCTACATTGCTTCACTAATCAACGACAAGCCTTAGTCTGCCATCTTTGTTATGTGGCTTAAGAGTTGGGGAATATGTCAGCTTCCTCTTTTTACATGTCTCTGTAATAGGACTGACTGCCTCATCAAAAGCACTTTTTGAGTCCTGACAGTTACTTATATATTGCAGTCAACAGGTGCATACAAGGCAGCATCAAGATTGGCGATTGCCACTCCTCCTCCTGCTTATGTATTGAGCCGGGGTATTGGCTGGCAGGTGAACTAATCTCAAACACTTGTGACTTTTGTGGCATACATCAGGCTAGCATCATGAACATAATACAAAGATTGAGGATATAGAATATTGTTTAGGCAACTCTCATTATAACAATTTTTTTTCTGGGGATCTAATGGTGATTCTAATATGTTGACTTCTAAATCACTATGTGCATTGCTTAAAAGCTGACTGGTTTTTTATATTTATCATTTTCAGGGAATTGGCATTTTGCTTGATGGACTTTTTGGTACAGGCACTGGTTCTACTGTTTCTGTGTAAGACACCACAATAGATTTCTGCAAAGCTTGTTCTGTGGTCTTCTCCCATTTAAAGTTTTTTTTACGAAGATCTTGATCATCTGTACCAGGGAAAATGTAGGACTTCTTGGACTGACCCGAGTTGGAAGTCGTAGAGTTGTTCAAATTTCTGCTGGATTCATGATATTCTTCTCAATCTTCGGTCAGTATTATTAACTTTATGAGACTCAAGGAAGTCCAGGTCCTAATTGGGAGCAATGCAATTCTTAGCTGCTCAACGGATCTCCTTTTATATGGAACTTCCACATCTAATGGCTAGGTCTTGAAAGAAATCTAAGAAAGAATGTCATGTTCTTTTCCATTCAAAAGTTGAGGGTCTGAATATAAATCAAGTCTTTGCCATTGCATTTTCTCTTCCCTTTCCATTTTAGCTATAGCATTCAAGTGTAGGATTTTAGTAAAGCTAAAGTTACATATAGTAGTCAGCCTTAATGGTTTCTCATTTGGGATTCAAAAGATAGTCCATGATTCATTTCCCTCTCTAATCCTTTTGCAGGTAAATTTGGGGCTGTATTTGCATCTATACCCTTCCCAATATATGCAGCACTATACTGTGTTGTCTTTGGCCTCGTGGGTATGTCACAACACAAGCTTAAGTAAGATTACGTATTATTTTCTTCTTTCACTCTCTTCACAAATATTCCGTGCCTGTTTGCAGGTTCAGTAGGCTTGTCATTTCTTCAGTTCACAAACATGAACTCTATGAGAAACCTCATTATCACTGGGCTTTCCCTGTTCCTTGGGATATCTGTCCCTCGGTTCTTCAACGAATATTGGAATCCTTCGCACCATGGTCTCGTCCATACCAACGCTGGATGGGTGAGTAATATCCTAACAAAACTCTAGTATTCATTCCGGTTAAGGTCTACGATATAACTGGATATCTGCAAATGAAGCACATGTTCATCTTGCTTGAACTAAAACAAGCTATGGGACACATTCACAGAATGGCTTTTGCAACTCTTTGGCCATTGATACTATAATCTTGTGTCTTTGCAGTTCAATGCATTTTTGAATACCATATTCTCCTCTCCTCCGACGGTGGGGTTGATCGTTGCGGTGTTTCTCGACAACACCTTAGAGGTGGAAAAATCAAAGAAAGATAGAGGGATGCCATGGTGGGTTAAGTTCAGAACATTCAGAGGAGACAACAGAAATGAAGAGTTCTACACTTTGCCATTTAATCTCAACAGATTCTTCCCACCTACGTAGCAGGCAGGATTTGGATGAAAGTTGAGACCAACAATCGAGCCAAGCAATCCAATTCCAATATTCTAACAATGATTGTTCATCTCCATTAGCGTAGTAGTAGTGTATCCAATCCAAGGATTATCTTACCAAATGCGAATTTTTCTTCTGCTTAAATATTTTTTTGTGGGCCTCTTTGTCATTAGGTCCAGAATAGGAGATTGTAGATCATTTCATCCATGTCCTCTTTTTGTAGCCCAAAATAATGAAGGAATATAATTTATTTATTTCTCTACCGAAGTTTTGAAAATTTGCAAAGTACCCATTACACCGTTCGGAGCAATTGCTACCTTAGGCTGGATTCAAGTTCCAATATCCGGTATAGTGTATGTGAATTTAGTACATTATCACTCTCAATAAGAAAGGATTTGGAAATAGTTCTGAAGTGGCATTTTAGAAACACCATAGCTTGATCATCAAATGATTTATATTTGATTTGTGTACCAAGGAAAATTGATTTAGTTTGATTCAGAGGAAGATTGAACTAAAACTTCTGATCTGCCATCATCACAACTAGTTTGTATTTCCTGGTGGAAGGGTCAATTTTGATTTCACCTTGCCACTCTATTTCACGATGCCAATCAATTCAACCAATTCATTAACGTAGTGCATTATTTGGTCATATTAAGCATGAAGTTTTACATTAATGAAATTAAAACCTCGAGGCCCATTTTGATAATGAAGTTTTACATTAATGAAATTAAAACTCGAGGCCCATTTTAATAATGATTTTCTAACCCGGAGAGTAAAATGTAGTTAATCCAATTTTACATTTTAAAAGATTAATTTTTTATAAGAACGTATTAAATGATTATATCAATTCTTGGATATGGAAAAAGTTTTTAGCCGAAAAAGCCATTTCTGTACAAACCTTGTGAAAATGGTTCGTAAAAAATCAAAGCAATATTTTTGTTTTGAAAAATGAAAATAGTAAAATTAAATTTTCTGAAGCCTCAGAAAGCCAGTCGTTTTTCATCAAAGAATATTCAGTCGGTAATTCCAACTAAAACATAAATCCTCATTGGCTTCAATTACTCAATAAACAAAAATAAAAATAAAATGTAATCGCAGTAAATCGGCTCCGTGGACCAGAGTGTTATAGGATCCACAGGTTCCTATCAGAGTGCGAAAGGGATCGCTGTTGGTTCAATGTAGCATCGTCGGTCAAGGCTATTTCAGCTACCGGCGACGTGGCATCGAACCTTCAAATTATCGGGAAAAGAAGAAAAAATTGGAAATTAATAATTTCAAGAAAGATAATTGGACCCTCAGAATCCCGTTCCAAATCACACACACGGCGGTACACCGGAGCCACCTGTTCCCGACCAATGAACAAATCATCAGCGGATGGGAACGAAGCGGCTCTTTCCGTGTTGCCGCCGCTGTTTAAAGTGTCATACGGCACTTCCTATCACTTTGGGCATTCTTCCTCATTGGTATCAATCAGGCTGTAACTACAAAAACATTAACCCTAAAACACTATAACCATAAAGCCCTGAAACCCCCAATCGAGAATAGAGACCAACTGCGGGAACAAGTTTAACCAATAGAGCGAGGAGTCGCCAATTCATGGAAGATAAAATGAGAGGAGGCTTTATATAGGAAAAGTAACGATCTTTTGTAAACCCTAATTCCGAATATGGGCTTTGTTTTGTGTTTTGGGCTATATTTTGGCTCAATATAATGGGCCTTGTAAATTGGGCCTTAAGAACGGGTCTTACAGTTCGGTCCACTCGGCCGGCCAGAGCTCACCTTGCAATGGTTTGAATTTTTTCAGCGCATTGCCGTCTCTGAAAGCAAGAAGAAGAAAGTGGTGGTTGGAAGGCCAGCGCAATTGCTGTTGTTGCTGGAAGGGCGTGTTTGGGTGTGTGGGAATGTCGATGGGGAGTGACAGCACTTGGGTTGGGAAGAAGCCTCTGAGACGCATCGGAGGCATGTCCGACGCTCTCTCCATTGCTTCGGATCTTGGCTTTTCTGTTGCCGCTCCTCCTACCCAGGTACAGCCTCAGTCTCCTTTCTCTATGTCTCTATGTCTTCCATGTCCAATTTCACTTTTTTGCTCACTTTGGCTTATAATCAGCTCCACCCAGTTTAGCTTTTCCTACTTCTTTTGATATTTAAGCTTAATTTTAGACACCCAATTGAAATAAAATGAAAGAACCAAGTAGGGTGGTGTTGGTATGGGCATGTAGGTGGAAATGAGTTTTTCTAAAGCTCTTACTGGAGCCAGTAGAGGGTATAGATGAATTATTTTGTCAAATGTTTCATGTTTGTTCCAGAGCAAAGCTGATCATTTGGTCAATTACAATGTGGACACTTCATGCTCCGAATTTCACTAAAGCTCAATCATATTTTTGATGTAGGAAGAGCTTCAGAACCTATCCAGTACTACTGGTGAGAAGGGTGATGACTTGATAAAGGTTTTGAGGGAACTTACCTCTGTACAAAGAAAAATAGCAGATCTGCAAGTTGAACTTCAAGGGAGAAAAGTGAGCTATTAGAGTCTCTTCTTTCCTGTTTTCAGTTTACTGCGTAATCTTATCTGTTGAACTGACTTGGTAATTATATTATCCTTAGGATGATAAAAACGTAGCACATTTGACACATGCGAGTGAAATGGAAAAGAAATGTGAAACTTTAGCGAGGATTACAACCATATTGAAAGATGTGATTCAGAATAAGGTAAATTTTATGTGGTACGTTGTTGCGTTCTTGAAATGGATTTGCTGAAGTCTCTTATTCTGTATGTTAGATTTCCATTGTCTTTGTCGAACCATATAATGATTTAACATTGTCATTTGCATATACCGTACATTGTGCATTCTTCGATATCTGTAATAGTTCCTAACAAAGTCATCCTGGAGAATAATGAAATGGACTATAACATCTCTTTTGAATTGCTGCGTTTCTTTTTTTTTATTTTATTTAAAGAGATGATTTTATTTCAGAAAAGAACAAGGCACCAACGGAACAAGAGGTGGCCAAGAAGGCTGCCACACAAAACAGAAAGGCTAAAAAAAACTCTACATTACAAAACTACGGCTTTCCAATCTAGATGGATGAGCTGAAAGCTAATCTCCCTAAATTCTGCTGAAACAGACGCCCATAGCAATGCCCAGAATCGGATACAATCCCAAAGCTGCTCGACCTAATCCCCTACCACATCCTCAAAAATTCTCCTATTCCTTTTCCCCCAAATTACCCAAAAAACTGCCACCATGGCACAATTTCCCAACACTGAACCCTTCCTCTTACCACCAAAGAAGTTCAATCTAGCTTCAAGCTCCGCAATACACGATGTGAAGCTACCCCACGTTAGTCCTGCCACCTGAAACAAGTTAGCCCACAAGGAAGAGGCAACAGGACAAAGCAAAAACTGATGATCCACAGTCTCGCTGTCCCTTTTGCACATAACACACCAGTTAGGAGAAAAAACAGTTGCTGCGTTTCTTTTCAAGATTATGCTCTAGAAATGTCAAGGCTAGTAATATAGTGAACTGATGCTTTGGTTATCATGCTCTTTGAAAATTGAATTCTGGTGGACATAGAAGAACAAATTTACAAACTGGGTTTCCTCTTTGGTACCACATAGATATGTGTATGTTATGGCATAAATAGTTGAATTCATTCACATGTATCTTTGTCTCTCAATAATACCTCATTTATATTTTTTTTCTCTAATCACTGGCAGGATCGTATCATAGCCCGTCTTCAACAACCATATTCACTCGATTGCATTCCAGTGGAAGCAGAGTATCAGGTCAGTTGCACTTTGTGTTCAGCAGTGTAAAATCTCTGTCTAATTTTTTATTCTTATTCAAAGTTTGTGAATTTGTTTAGGCGACTTGTATTAAAGATTCTAGGCTATGATTATAACAGAGCCATCTTATTTTGACAAGTCTAAAGAGTGTTTTTAACTAAATCCAATTCATATTGTTGACTTGTAAGAGTGTAGATTCATCAAACAACTGTTTTGACAAACTTAAGGATTATGTGGATATCTCATCAAGTGAAGACTGTTTTCTTAATGCTTATGGTATCTTTTGCTTGGGCCTGTGCAGAAACAATTCTCTGAATTACTGATGAAGGCTGCTAGTGATTATGGGGCCTTGACAGCATCAGTTGCAGATTTTCAGTGGAGTCAGACATTTAAGGAACCTCCTTCAGTTTGGGGGGTATGCATGCCAAAGCTTTTCATTTGTTTCCAAATTAACTGACCATGCATGTTGCGCATTTGGTTCTTCTATGTTTTCCAGTTGCATGATGTTGTTTGGTTTAGACCACATTTGATTGTTGGCAACTGCGTGAGTATGTTACTTTTGAATTTTGCTGATAATAGCATTAAAGGAATTATTCATCATATAAAATTTCTTTCCATGAAGATACAGAAGCCAAATATCAAAGATCTCATTAAGGGGTTCATGAGATTATATGATCTCCCATGAAGTATTGCCCTGCTGACTCATTAATGTTGTAGAACTTTTAGTTTCATGGCATGGTATAGGTCAAATAATTTCATCCCAATAAAATTTCCAGTGTCTCGTTGATTCAAGAAATTTGTTAGATTGCATGGGAAGCTACTTCTGCATGATATGATCCTCATTTTGTTTAACTGATGCAGGAAATGCTTCGTCCAATTCCTGTTGCCTTAGCATCATGCACTCGGTTCTTTGAAGCAATGTCTGCTATGAGGGAATCATTTTCAACACTTCAGCATCTCAGAGTCGGTCATAGTGACGCATCTTCACCGATAACACCAGGCAAGGATTCCTCCCGAAGAGTACCAGGGGATTCCGAATGTGTAACTCCACCGCCTTGGAGAACTGAACCAAGCTTTGATGACTTAGCTATCAGAAGCTCAAGGAGGCCAGAAGTCGAGCACCGAGAAGCAGACGATGAAAACAGTGAGGGGGATGGAACTAGCCACAGGAGATTATCATGGCCTCCAGTTAAAAAGAGTGGTGTTTAGTCAATTTGCTGAATTTCGTTGCATGTTACTCAATGTATGCTTTTGTGTGAAATAGTCATTGTAATAGTAGAAGTGTGCAAAAAAATTCCAATACAATTGTACACATTGAGACACTCATTAGTTTGTGCAGCTATCTATACATGTATTCTATTATGTCGAAATGTTTCAGTGATGCCATCTGACTTCTCCCATTTTAATCTTTCTGGGCCTGTACGTCAGATAACTGCTGGGCTTGGTACATCAGGTTGAAATGTATGCTTGAATGATAAGGCAGCTCATGCTTATGACCCCAAAAAAAAAAAAAAAAACAGGCAGCTCATGCTTGGTTTTATCGAGTACGATGGAAGTGGATTTGATGGGATTTTCCCATCACGACCAGATGTTGTTATGCTTTAGGCCTTTTCCTATAGGACTTCAAGAAGACACCAGCAGCTTCTGATTAGTTCTTTGCATATGTTGATGATAGTCTCTTTATTTATTTTTGGTCAAATGTTGATGATAGTCAATTTTTTTCACTTTTTGGACCCATTTATTCGTTGTTGTATAACTTCCGAGTGACAATATAAACATTTGTCGTCTGATAATTGATTGTTATCTTACCACCTAATATCATATGCAACAATTTTTCCTTTTGATTTCAACTATTTTCAAGTGGGCCTTGAGTTGCATTGAAGGGAGAGGAGGAGCTGCATAGTAGTATGTATACATAGAACTTCAATGTGAAAATGAAAGGTCATATGCGTATGCACCCATCTCAATATGCTCTCTCTAGGAAACAACTTGCAAATTTCCATGCACCTTTCACATCTACGAACCTTAAAAGGTGTACATACTCAGAATTTTTTTTCTTGTAACGGGGATACACTGTTTTGTTATTTCCGACTAATAATGCAAAGGCTTATAGAAAATTTATCCCACTTATCATTGCGCTATTGATCGGAGATAGCAAAAAGTGATGTCCCAATTACATGAAAGTCTCTCTCATATGTAGGATACGTTCTCAAACGAGGAGAGGGAAGGAGCTAAGACAATCAAGAAATTCACCAAACCAATTCAAGCTGCAGTTATGATCTCAAAAGTCAACCTCCAGATGAAAATAAAATACATCAATTCAAGAAAAACCATATTTTATTTCAACATCAAACCATCAATCAATGTTATGTTACCTTCTCGGCTAAGGAACGAACTACCTAACATCCTAATAATAACCAAGTTTACTACAAATTACAATCGAAACAGCCTGTCATGCCCATAGGAAGGGAATGTACATTTATAATACCATTCAAAATTTCTAAAAACATCATCAAACTTTGCTTAGAGTCCCTATAAAGGCTAAAAATGGTGGGATATGTTTCAATTGCTGTTCAATGTTATTAATGATTCAACATGAGGAGCTAGACAAATTGACCCTCAATCAATTACTTCAACTCTTTTAATCAACGACTGTCAATCATTTACGCAAATATGACATAGTATTTTCTCACGAGTCTATCCTGATAATGATGAAAAATTCAAGGCGTTTTTTATTGGGCCCCACAGTGACAGATGAGGTTGCAAATTACTAGAATAAAGATGAATTATCATCCAACTCCAATAACATGCATCATGCATGCCCTTTTGGGTATTTTATTTTCCAGAGAGGCAGATGTAAACTCAAAATTATGAACATGATGCACATCGTGGTACATACGTTGCTTCACTGTCCTCTACTCTTATTTTTATGGACAGCCTTTTAGTTTTAGCCCCTTGCTAAATAAAAGGTTCCGTTCCAACAGCTCCCTGGGCCCCACGCCAAATCATAGATTGATCGGCTGAGATGAGGCCAATGACATCGCGGGTCCCACTGTTAATCATTGTAATTCCTGATCGTGGTGGGTCCTTGCACCATTAGAGAGCGTAGGGTTTGGGTGCGGCGACCCATAGGGTAGCTAACAACCGACGCCGCATGTCTAGCCAAAATACATTATGGTCTAACAAATTACAAAAGTGAAAGGAGTTTAATTAGCCAAAGATATTTATATAAATGTTTCTTTTAGCCTGAAAATTCATTCTTGTTGTGGACTCAACAAAAAATCTCATTAATTATGAGATTAGAATTCGTATCAACTACGGATGCATATAATAATTTCAAACGACAAAACTGATTATAAAAATCTTGATATCAAACCACGTGAATTCAATAATGGGCAAAATTCAAGTTTTATATAGAAACAACTTCCACACCATACAATTCTCAACCAACAAGGCATAGTAATCACTATAACTAATTCCATTCATAAAATTCTACAAGATTTTTTGGCTCGCACCACACCGGACCGGAATATAATTCATAGCAATTAGTTGAAACTTTTGTCCTAGAAAGTGAGAAGCTTGTATTTTCTGATAATTAGTGAGTTAGTGTAGTTAACTAACCTAAAGCATATTCTGGGTTAGTCTAGTGGATTCTTTTTCTAGACAAAATATAGGACCACTCTACGCGCTTTTACTCTCCCCTCCCTATCCCTAATCATTCACTGGTCTGGTCACCTATTTCTCTGTGACTCTGTGACTCTGACTTTATACACCGATTGCCTCCCAATTTCCTAATTAATACCCCGTTTTTTTATTAATAATTAAAAAAAGAAAGAACGGTAGATGATTGGATCATACGGTAAAGAGCGTGCGGACGAGCGTAGGGGATAGCCTGTGGAGATTGTTCACACAAGTGGCGCGGTTATTTCCCCAGGTTTCGGTTTCGTTGAGGTTTCCGGCATGTCTTCGCCTTCCGCATGGAAATTTCGGACTTTATTATCCATCCACGCAACGCAAAACGACAATCTAGAGGAGAATAGTGGTGGCGGGAAGCAACCATATGAGATCCGTATATTCGAATTTACCATTTTGCCCTCCTCCCCCTTCCTCAATCTTCCTCATAAATTCCCAAGATACGTGTCCCTGGGTCTCCCTCCGGACGCGACACCTCTCTCTCTCGTCTCGCCTTCCAATCCAAGCAAAGCAATTCATAAATACCGAAATTTTCAGAATTAATTAAACAAAAGCCCCCAAAAAAAAAAGATGATGAAAGCTTTGCTGTGAAATGTGAACGCTTCCCTCCTCTGCCGTCCTTCAATCCCGGCCCTTGATTCGTCCACGTGGACTCCCCATTCTCTCTGTCTCTCTCGGCGTGCCTTTGTCTCTGTTATGAAGTTCGCCGGTGATTGCTTTCTCTTCTTTCTATGGAATTTCCTTATTCTTCATCAACAACAAGGTCTCTCTCTCTCTCTCTAGTAAATGCATACATACATACAACATATGCATGCATGATGTACACATATTATGTATTTATATGTTGGATTGTGTATTGTATTAATTGCATTTGTGAATTCTGTGAAGCAGTGATTGGTGACAAATTGGGCGCAAAGCTTGATTGTGATGGGGAAAGGTGACGCTGGTCGCTGCATTTTCCCCCTCACCAGTTTGCAAATTGGGTAACAATCTTAAATTTCTTATTTGTACTTCTTAAATTCTAATTATATTTGTTATTAATTTTCTTAATTTATTCTCGTTTTGAGGCAACAAGCATGTTTCAGTCTGTGCCAGAAGTGGTTTAGCAGCCTTGATTCTGAGTTTTTATGGCATAAATTTTAATTTGCTAACACTCACAACCAGGTCAATTTACAAGTGAAGTTGATGCTGGTTTCTAATTTTCAGCTCTTGTGTATGTATGTGTATTTTGTTGTGATAGTGATTTAGTATTGCTAAATGCAGAGAAAACCTTGTGCTTTTTCACCTCTGGAAACATATTATGTGCTGCTGTTTTTGCTTATTTTCTTTTTTGCGTAATTATGAAGTGATGTGTTTTGTGCTATTTGATTGCAGAGACTTGCAGTCTTACCTTTCGGATCTTAGCCTTTTCCTGGCCCCTGAAAGCAAGAAATTCTATATCTTGGTTGACAATCGGCCATGGCTAGGCTCACGGTCAGCACACTTGTGGCAATTGATGGTTACCAAGGTCACTCACTAGTCACTACACCCCCCATAATGTTCAACTTATGATTTATTTTAATTCAATTTTATGGAGGAATAGAGTTTATATTTGTTTGATTTTCAGTCAAGGTTATCTCCTTTTGCCAACTCTAAAGCACGGAAGTTGAGAACAGAAGGAAAGGATGCTTGCTCCTTACCCAAGACTGCAAAACCAAAGAAGTTTGCTAGGTGGTTCTCGTTGATTAAGTCTCAGAAGAAGGTATTGCTACCTGTAAAGAAACTAAGGACTTCTTTGCTTCTAAGCCAGGAGTTGCATAGGACCTTGTATGGTTTTATTGTGTTTGAAGTTGCATGGAGCAATGTTCGAGGTATTAATTACGTCAATGAGCTTCAGGTATCACCCCCTTTCTATATCCTTCAATAGTTGTTTGCAGTTCTTTGTAAGTGTTGTTGTGTTATATGGTTTTGATCTCACGTGCAGACTGATACATCACTGGCTGTAGAGGCTAAATTCATGCAAAGATGGGAATTTGACAGTATTGCTCAAGCTGCAAGTTGTATATCTTCATGGTTCTCAGGAACAATCTCTGAGCAGCTACAGTTGAAAGAGTATCTGAATTCTGCCATAGGTAGTCTCCACAAGGGTGTTTCTGTTGCACAGGACTCAGAAGGTAAATTCATGAAGCTCAGAACGAGAATTTCCTTTTGAAATTTTTTCCTTTGTTGGTTTATTAGAAAATTTGGATAAACATATAATTGGAGAATTTCTGTCTGGAAAAAGTGTTAGATTTTCATAGGTGCCAGTATGCTACATGATGGCTGCTGACACTACTGTATTTCTCTAATACCAATGAAAATGAGTATGCAATGGTCTTTTGCTTTTAAACTTTTCTAGGAGAGGTCTTCTTTGATGCCAAAGAATATCCAGATGCCGAAGAATATCCAGAAACGATGCCGGTTGTTGAAGAAAATCTCTCGTATAATAATCTGTCTATGGAGGAAAACTCTCTCCACTGCCTTAGTAGCAACTATAGTGTACATCCGGAAACCAGTGAAAATGGGACCAGTGTTGCACATACATCACCTCCACCTACTGGGCCTTATAAGAGGCGGAAAATAACCACGTCCATCAGCACTGGAGTTGAACTAGATACTTATTCCGAGGAAATGCAAAATCCTGCGACCTATATCAGTGACTCTGAAGATTCTGAGACCTATACCTGTAACAGTGAAGATGAAATGCAGAACTCTGAGGCTTATTCCTGTTACTGTCAAGATGAAATGCAAAACTCTGACGTCTATACCCGGGACTGTGAAGATGAAATGCAAAACTCCGAGACCTTTACCAGCGACTGTGAAGACGCTATACCAGAGACTGTAAAGACAACCTGTGATGATGCTTTTAAAGCTACCCAGTTCAGGGAAGATGCTATACCAGTAACTGTGGATACCTATACCAGTGACTCTGTAGATGCTGTTGAAGCTACCCAGTACAGGGACGTACTTATTTTGTTCAGGTTCAATGACCGCAACCTCCCATTTAAACTAAGAGAAATAATAATGTCTGATCTTCGGTTACTGACATTGCTTGAGGCTGGGCTTCCATCTTGGGTTATCTTCCTTCAGTCATACCCAGGGTTTTGCCATATCTATCGCCCGTGGATGTGCCCTCTTGCAAGAGCGTTATATGTGCTGATCTCAGTTGTCACTGTTCTAATAGGATTTTATGACCTATACAAAAATGTTCCAGTTCTCAAGGTAACTGCATCTCGTCTTTGTGGGCCTCTATTTGATTGGATAGAGACCTGGTCGATGATATCAAGGATCAAATACTTGGGAACAATGCTATTTCTACACAACTCTCAGAAAGCTGTTCAGTGGTTTCTGACAATCAGAAGCACCACTCGATCCTTTATTTCAGTTCTCGCTCAGCCATTGGCAGAACCTCTTCTGGAGTGTTTTGGATTCCTCATTCCAGTATGGAATGTGCTTATTGAAGTAATAGAAAGCCTCTGTTCAATCATTTGGATTCTGGTTGGATCTTCATGCAGTCTAGTGGGGAACCTAGTACAGATTTTACTAGTTCCAATATGGTTTCTCCTATCGGCCATCTTGAGCATTGGTAGGTCATCAAATTTTTTGGATCACCCATTTTTCTTAAGTTATATTATCAATGGCGTCATACAATTGACAAAAAATCTTGTATTAATTGCGTGTAGTCTTGTTTGCATTGTGTTGCAGGAACTTCCATTGTATACCCTATGTTGATGATGCTATGGGAAATAGTCTATGCTCCGGTTCGCATGGTTGTTGCAGTAGCCAATTTCCTAGCTTTTATTTGTACCTGTATATATGACATGCTTCGAGACATATGGCAGTTTACTAGCAGCATATTCCAGTTTGCTTCAGCCTCTCAGGCAACTGTGAGAACGGTTGAAGTTTCCGTATGGCGTTCACTTTGGAATGACCTCTTTTCTCAGGTTTGGAAGATAAAAGTATATAATTGCAGTTATGCCTTTTGACAATGTCAGGTAGATGGTTTTATTGATCACCATTCTTTTCTTTTTGGGTTTCAGGTTTTCCGTGCGATCAGGAGTATCTTAAATGGTTTTGTTGCATTCTTCATAGCTTGTAACAGGCATCGCCTTAGGTATGCTTATTCTTTTCTTTAGCACTACTTACATCTTGTTTAGTGATCTGCATTTTTCTGCTCGCTAGCTTTTTATTTTTATTTTTATGCATAGACGATTGTCATGGTTGCTTAAGCCATTGTTAAACTTTATTTGATAGCTAGGACAATATATGCTGATGGCTAATTTCGACATCATTACAAAGTTTCATGGTAATATCTTGCACTATACCACTGTGATAATGTACATATTCAATTAGATATTTAGGCCGAAGTGGAAATCTGAAAATAGCAACTAAAAAGAAAAAGAAAAAGGATAAATAAAGTTTTTCAGAATTGGGTTTATGAGACCATAGAACTCAGAACAGCCTCATTGTAGCTGTCCTCCCTGATTGTGGGGGTTGTGCTGGACATTTGCTTTGGAAGATATGTAAGATTTGAAGGGTTTTTGACTTGTGCAGTAGTGTTGGGGCAACTGCAGAATCTTGGGAGATCATAAGGGGAGATTTCTCTTATAATGGAAAAATGGTGGTCAGTGGTGGCCTTGGAAAATACTATTAACCTTTTTTTTTATACATACATGTACTTTTTAAACTTATTGTTTTGAACTTCTATTGCTGGCTTCCTGCTTATAGCATAACGAATAATAATCCATTTCTTTCAGTCTGCATGCAAATAAATTCCTTTGCCTTGCTGATGGTTATTTTATGCGATGGTTACAGCATTTATAATCATATACAAGAGTTTATCCAAAGATTACTGGGTCGAACCCGGAGATCACGGCGTGAAGATTCAAGACGTAGCAAGCCAACCGTTGAGACACGGAATCTGGTTAGTAGTCTAATGTGTGAATTTTAGATTATGGATTTCACTTCCCTGCACAAGATTGCAGCACAGAAATACACTTGCTAGGCACATATACAGTCATTTTGCACACAATATGTGTTTCATGGTTGCTATTAACATAAGTTAACACGTGTTTTCACTTTTTCTTTTCTTATTCCTGTGTCTGCATGCTCCTAAACATAAACCTATTATATTTTGGTTTTGGTTTGCAGTCAGAATTAAGAAGGAAAATCAACCTTGAGTAGGGTTTGGATAGTTTTTGGAGGAACACAGACAAGAGAGTACTTTCTTTGAGAAGTGCTGGCGACATCGTGTAAAAACACCTTGACTTGAACAATCTAAGAGATGCATTTGGCCAAAGAAGAATATGTAAGAGATGTAGCGACAGCGACATGTTAATACCACTGGAAGAGCTTTGTTTTTTTTTTCTTTCATTCTTTTCAGTTTTGTTTCCACTTGTTAATTGTTGGGGCAGACAATCTTTACATTTGTACATAATGTATCATAAGGAACTTCAGCTTAGTTCTTCTACTTTTTTCTTTCTTTCAAAAAGTTTGTGAGTGATGAGTTCAGAACAGACCGTTCGTTTCAGTTAATAAAGAAAGATGACAAATACTAATCTGAATCTGAGTTGCATCATAATTGGACTATAAAATTCATGGCAAATCAACATGATCTCAACCATCAGTGGTGATCCTACCTTGGCTGGAATCTCCAACAACTCTATCAAACATTATGTCCGCTCCATCTATGTGCACCAGGTCTTTAGCATTGAGCAGGGACGCTTGTCGAAGACGTAAAAACCAGGCTAGGCCCCCATTACCTTCTGCGAGGAGGAGGAGCGTGGTGTTATTCTCCCCCACACCCCTGGAAGCATTCATCTCCCCATCTCTATTGGAGCAGCACCCCATTGGGTGATGGGTCACCACTCCCTTCCTTATTATTGACTGCCTCACAGCCTACAACGTCATCCTTGACCCAAATGAAGGTTTTCATTTCCACACATATGCTGCTGCTAAATTTTCCTACACCCTATGGCAAAGGCACGGTACGCGGCGACCAACTAAGCGCCCGAAACTGCTATGCTTCAGCAGTGAAATTGACCAATCGCCAACATAGGGGTGAGGCCCTCGTAGTAACCGAGGCCCCAGCCCCTCCTCGAGCTGGCACAGAACGACCTGAAGACCCCAGAGAGGAATCTGTCACTCAGCAAGCCGAACCTGTGGAAGACCTTGAGCTGGTCACTCTCCATTATGACATCCCAAATCGGTAGGTCCGGATCGGCACCTCCCTCCCACCAGAGCTTCACTCTGATCTCGTAGCCTTCCTCTGCCTCAACTCTGAGGTCTTCGCCTAGTCTTATAATGACATGCCTAGCATATCACCAGACATCATCTCCTATTGGCTAAGCATTAATCCTGCCGTCCGACCTATTCGGCAGAAGCGTCGTGCTTATGACCTAGAGCGGTATGAGGCCATGAAGACGAAGTTGGATAAGCTGAGCAGCATTGGATTCATCAAGGAGGTGGACTATGCCACCTGGCTAGCCAATATGGTGATTGTACGTAAACAACATAAGGGCTGGCGCATGTGCGTAGACTACACTAATCTTAATCATCAAATCATCGTTAATTGGACTATAAAATTCAAATCATCGTTCTTTTTTATTTTTTATTAATCTGATTAGATTCAGGTCCATAGCTAATCTTTCAATTTGTATGCATATGTTAAACAACTGCAATCCATTGATAGTAACAAAAGATTACATTAAATTCTGGTAATCGTCTAAGCAGTCAAATTTTTTACGATGAATGAAAAAACAGGAGAGCAAAAGGGATAACAATGGAAACACTATAAGAGTAGAAATTATATATCAAATTCTAATTGGATTAAAATACAGCCTTGCTACACAAGACTATGAAATTGAAAGGAAAACCATACTCAGATGCCAAGTTCCACATCAATTTACTTAATCAAAATACTACTACAAAAGGTCTTGTACAAAACTAAAAAACCTAATGCTCGATACCCTAGATCCATAGAACACAGTGGTCTTCATCATAATAACAGCTTCCTTCCAATAAGAGCATATAGTATCAAATCTGTACGGCTCCTCCAGTTTGATGAAGCATTGCATCAATCTCATCACCATCCTCCATTTCCAGCTGAAACAAGGAAACAATACAAACAATTCATCATCCTGCAGAAAACATGAGTGACTCTGTACACATGTGGTTCCAAGTGAATGGCCGTGTGTGTATGAGGAGACACATGTAAATTATGCAAATGTGATAGAAGAGAGAGGGACCTCATCAGGTGTCTGCTCTGCTCGTAGACGGCGACCATCAAACAAGAAGGCAATTGAGTTAAGCTCCACAGACTGGCGATCACAATATGCATTCATAAGCTTCTTCAGTTGAGTGCTTCGTTTGATCCTGAAAAACACTTCATTCCCATCCTGCAAATGAAATACAAAATCATCATTCATCTGCTCACCAAAGTTTTCATGACAAAATCTCTATCTTGAGAGCATAACACTCACAAACAAATTCGTAGATTATGATTCAATACTTTTGGAATCACCAACAAGAAAATCTCAAACTATATTGCAAAAATAGAATTAAATGAACACAAGACAGTAAGGTTATGGGATGGAGACATAAATAAATGGAACTAAATGCAACTCACCAAACAAATCACCCACTATCTTATTATCATGACAAAGGACAATATAGAACAATGCCAAGCATACTGCAAGCAGATAAGAACACACACAATTCAATTACTTAGGACGCAAAAGCATCAGAATGAGGAATAATAAAAACAATAGTATTACAAAATAATAAAAGGGTAAATGAAATACAGCCAGAATTACAAGAAGAGATTATAGACTACGGATATAAGCATAAAACAGCAACCAAACACAGCCTAATCGTGATATCAATCTAAATACCTTGAGCCAAACAAAAACTAGGCTGTGAGAACTGAAAAACAACAACCCTCTTATGCATTTTTTTTCCCGCGGTCAGCTTTCTCAGAAATCATACAATCTGAATCATATTAAAATTAAACTGATAGTCTTTATGAATAAAAAAAAGGAAAGAAAAACATAAGCAGGCATTTTGCCAAAAACCCCTAAAAGGCCACAAGAACATGCAACATATTAACTTCAAATAATTCTTTAAAATAAAAACTTGAAGAACCCATGAGAGGCCAAAATTACAATCAACACAAGAAAAATAAAAATAAAAATTTTAAAAAGAAAAAACAGCCAAAGAACACAGATGGGTGAAGTTCGGGATAAGAAATAAGGACCTGGCCTTTCACTTTGAGGTTGATGTGGGCAGCTTGATCGTTGGGCTTCTTGTCCTCTTCTTGCTGCGGAGTCGACATCTTCGTCTTCTGGCTCTGAGTCTCTGTCTCTCTCTCTCTCGGTCTCTCTATGGTCTTTGTAAAACGAATGAAATTAGGGTTCTCTTCTCTCTCTCCTATTGGTTTTTATTTTATTGGTTGTACCACCACGGCGCTACCACCGACGGCCTTTTGAGAGCCACAGAGCAATAGAGCTTGAACACGTGTCACAGTCTCATTCGTAAAATCATGGGTCTGGGCTAAAGTGCAAAAAGTCATATAACCCACTGAAGTTTTGTCCCAAAAAATTGGTAAATTAGAATAAGCCCATTACATGAATAGGGCCTTCAAGGTCCCTCTAGGCCCAAAGATAAGGTTTTGGGTCAATGTCAGGTAAATTACAACAACATTTTGTCTAGTCTAGGGTTACATTCTTTCATCAATGCTTTGAGAAGCAAACAAAGGAAAAAGTCCTTCTCATGTTATAAATTTATATTCCAAAGGCTATTTGTTTTTTTTTTTGCTTTATTTATTGATTGATGACAATTTGTTAGATGTGCTAACATGCATGTAATGTCCCTCTCATGGACAAGATCAAAAAAAGCTTTTGGATGTAGCCAAGGGAGTGAAAGCAACTTCTCTATAGATATGCATAAGTTGGCTTTTTGGGTGTAGTAGTGGTGTTATGACCTAATGGATAACTTTTGAAGATCTAGACTTTAAGGAAAGTTTTGGATTCAACGTTTGCGTAAATTGCTGATCTCGAATGTCCTAAACTTGACATAACGAATGCCTAAAGTTAAGTGGTTTCTCTTCAAAAACATTTTTCATGATGCCATTAGCCCATAAACACACACTACTTTGGATATCATTATCTCCATTTGTTGACTTGTTACTTGACTTCTCTATGATCATGTCCGAATACACGTGTCAAGTGTTTGGAAGAGTGATGAGCAAAAATCTCCATATGATTATTCCCAATTGTTACTTGACTTTCCCGTGAAGACTTTTTTGGTCGATTTCCCGTTAAGACAAAAGCACTTCCATTGCTTGTAGTAGTAGCCAACGTTCGAAAACCAGTTAAATGATTAATAATAATAATAGAACATCAGATATTTATTTATTTTTATATATATATATATATAATATGATGGTGTAATTAAATTCATGATTATTCCTCGAACCTCCAAAGTCAATGGACCCCATAGCATCCTATGCACAAACATCACCGTACAATTAATTAGAGCCGTTGCATTCTTCCAGCTCATTTGATTGGACAGGTGGAAGCAATCCAACCCAAACACTCAACAGTAGAAAATGAATATTCATTAACCCAAATACCCATAAAAATAAATAATAAATAATAAATAATAAAACCACAATTTCGATGAACCCTAGGAGCGTAGCAGTGTTATTAATCCACGTTATGTTCTATAGGTGAAGTGAATCATAAAATAAAACGGTCGATTTTGTGGGGGAACGTGAGGTCGGGCCCACAAGGCCTAGTGCAGAAAAGAAGAAGATCTTATTATTGACTGCCTCACAGCCTACAACGTCATCCTTGGCCCAAATGAAGGTTTTCATTTCCACACATATGCTGCTGCTAAATTTTCCTACACCCTATAGCAAAGGCACGGTACGTGGTGACCAACTAAGCGCCCGAAGCTGCTATGCTTCAGTAGTGAAATTGACCAATCGCCAACATAGGGGTGAGGCCCTCGTAGTAACCGAGGCCCCAGCCCCTCCTCGAGCTGGCACAGAACGACCTGAAGACCCCAGAGAGGAATCTGTCACTCAGCAAGCCGAACCTGTGGAAGACCTTGAGCTGGTCACTCTCCATTATGACATCCCAAATCGGTAGGTCCGGATCGGCACCTCCCTCCCACCAGAGCTTCACTCTGATCTCGTAGCCTTCCTCTGCCTCAACTCTGAGGTCTTCGCCTAGTCTTATAATGACATGCCTAGCATATCACCAGACATCATCTCCTATTGGCTAAGCATTAATCCTGCCGTCCGACCTATTCGGCAGAAGCGTCGTGCTTATGACCTAGAGCGGTATGAGGCCATGAAGACGAAGTTGGATAAGCTGAGCAGCATTGGATTCATCAAGGAGGTGGACTATGCCACCTGGCTAGCCAATATGGTGATTGTACGTAAACAACATAAGGGCTGGCGCATGTGCGTAGACTACACTAATCTTAATCATCAAATCATCGTTAATTGGACTATAAAATTCAAATCATCGTTCTTTTTTATTTTTTATTAATCTGATTAGATTCAGGTCCATAGCTAATCTTTCAATTTGTATGCATATGTTAAACAACTGCAATCCATTGATAGTAACAAAAGATTACATTAAATTCTGGTAATCGTCTAAGCAGTCAAATTTTTTACGATGAATGAAAAAACAGGAGAGCAAAAGGGATAACAATGGAAACACTATAAGAGTAGAAATTATATATCAAATTCTAATTGGATTAAAATACAGCCTTGCTACACAAGACTATGAAATTGAAAGGAAAACCATACTCAGATGCCAAGTTCCACATCAATTTACTTAATCAAAATACTACTACAAAAGGTCTTGTACAAAACTAAAAAACCTAATGCTCGATACCCTAGATCCATAGAACACAGTGGTCTTCATCATAATAACAGCTTCCTTCCAATAAGAGCATATAGTATCAAATCTGTACGGCTCCTCCAGTTTGATGAAGCATTGCATCAATCTCATCACCATCCTCCATTTCCAGCTGAAACAAGGAAACAATACAAACAATTCATCATCCTGCAGAAAACATGAGTGACTCTGTACACATGTGGTTCCAAGTGAATGGCCGTGTGTGTATGAGGAGACACATGTAAATTATGCAAATGTGATAGAAGAGAGAGGGACCTCATCAGGTGTCTGCTCTGCTCGTAGACGGCGACCATCAAACAAGAAGGCAATTGAGTTAAGCTCCACAGACTGGCGATCACAATATGCATTCATAAGCTTCTTCAGTTGAGTGCTTCGTTTGATCCTGAAAAACACTTCATTCCCATCCTGCAAATGAAATACAAAATCATCATTCATCTGCTCACCAAAGTTTTCATGACAAAATCTCTATCTTGAGAGCATAACACTCACAAACAAATTCGTAGATTATGATTCAATACTTTTGGAATCACCAACAAGAAAATCTCAAACTATATTGCAAAAATAGAATTAAATGAACACAAGACAGTAAGGTTATGGGATGGAGACATAAATAAATGGAACTAAATGCAACTCACCAAACAAATCACCCACTATCTTATTATCATGACAAAGGACAATATAGAACAATGCCAAGCATACTGCAAGCAGATAAGAACACACACAATTCAATTACTTAGGACGCAAAAGCATCAGAATGAGGAATAATAAAAACAATAGTATTACAAAATAATAAAAGGGTAAATGAAATACAGCCAGAATTACAAGAAGAGATTATAGACTACGGATATAAGCATAAAACAGCAACCAAACACAGCCTAATCGTGATATCAATCTAAATACCTTGAGCCAAACAAAAACTAGGCTGTGAGAACTGAAAAACAACAACCCTCTTATGCATTTTTTTTCCCGCGGTCAGCTTTCTCAGAAATCATACAATCTGAATCATATTAAAATTAAACTGATAGTCTTTATGAATAAAAAAAAGGAAAGAAAAACATAAGCAGGCATTTTGCCAAAAACCCCTAAAAGGCCACAAGAACATGCAACATATTAACTTCAAATAATTCTTTAAAATAAAAACTTGAAGAACCCATGAGAGGCCAAAATTACAATCAACACAAGAAAAATAAAAATAAAAATTTTAAAAAGAAAAAACAGCCAAAGAACACAGATGGGTGAAGTTCGGGATAAGAAATAAGGACCTGGCCTTTCACTTTGAGGTTGATGTGGGCAGCTTGATCGTTGGGCTTCTTGTCCTCTTCTTGCTGCGGAGTCGACATCTTCGTCTTCTGGCTCTGAGTCTCTGTCTCTCTCTCTCTCGGTCTCTCTATGGTCTTTGTAAAACGAATGAAATTAGGGTTCTCTTCTCTCTCTCCTATTGGTTTTTATTTTATTGGTTGTACCACCACGGCGCTACCACCGACGGCCTTTTGAGAGCCACAGAGCAATAGAGCTTGAACACGTGTCACAGTCTCATTCGTAAAATCATGGGTCTGGGCTAAAGTGCAAAAAGTCATATAACCCACTGAAGTTTTGTCCCAAAAAATTGGTAAATTAGAATAAGCCCATTACATGAATAGGGCCTTCAAGGTCCCTCTAGGCCCAAAGATAAGGTTTTGGGTCAATGTCAGGTAAATTACAACAACATTTTGTCTAGTCTAGGGTTACATTCTTTCATCAATGCTTTGAGAAGCAAACAAAGGAAAAAGTCCTTCTCATGTTATAAATTTATATTCCAAAGGCTATTTGTTTTTTTTTTTGCTTTATTTATTGATTGATGACAATTTGTTAGATGTGCTAACATGCATGTAATGTCCCTCTCATGGACAAGATCAAAAAAAGCTTTTGGATGTAGCCAAGGGAGTGAAAGCAACTTCTCTATAGATATGCATAAGTTGGCTTTTTGGGTGTAGTAGTGGTGTTATGACCTAATGGATAACTTTTGAAGATCTAGACTTTAAGGAAAGTTTTGGATTCAACGTTTGCGTAAATTGCTGATCTCGAATGTCCTAAACTTGACATAACGAATGCCTAAAGTTAAGTGGTTTCTCTTCAAAAACATTTTTCATGATGCCATTAGCCCATAAACACACACTACTTTGGATATCATTATCTCCATTTGTTGACTTGTTACTTGACTTCTCTATGATCATGTCCGAATACACGTGTCAAGTGTTTGGAAGAGTGATGAGCAAAAATCTCCATATGATTATTCCCAATTGTTACTTGACTTTCCCGTGAAGACTTTTTTGGTCGATTTCCCGTTAAGACAAAAGCACTTCCATTGCTTGTAGTAGTAGCCAACGTTCGAAAACCAGTTAAATGATTAATAATAATAATAGAACATCAGATATTTATTTATTTTTATATATATATATATATAATATGATGGTGTAATTAAATTCATGATTATTCCTCGAACCTCCAAAGTCAATGGACCCCATAGCATCCTATGCACAAACATCACCGTACAATTAATTAGAGCCGTTGCATTCTTCCAGCTCATTTGATTGGACAGGTGGAAGCAATCCAACCCAAACACTCAACAGTAGAAAATGAATATTCATTAACCCAAATACCCATAAAAATAAATAATAAATAATAAATAATAAAACCACAATTTCGATGAACCCTAGGAGCGTAGCAGTGTTATTAATCCACGTTATGTTCTATAGGTGAAGTGAATCATAAAATAAAACGGTCGATTTTGTGGGGGAACGTGAGGTCGGGCCCACAAGGCCTAGTGGAGAAAAGAAGAAGATAGTCGACTGGTCCGTTGGGAGTCTTTTTTTCCTGTCCCTGTCATGCACGTGGGTCCCGCCATCTCGATCCCCACGTTATTCCTCTAACCCCATAAAAGCACCATCCCTCTCTTCTTCCTCTGCCTCACTCCCCACGCTCACTCCACTCTCCCATTACCTGCAAACAAACCTGAAACAACAAAGAAGAACCAGCAGCCCTCTGCAATGCTCTGTTTCTCCAAAAACCAGAGCATGGACCGCCACCTCCTCACTCTATCTCTCCTCCTTCTCTCCGTCTTATCATCTCACGCAGGTAACTACAATGCTGAACAAATTAAACTCTCTGTATCTTGAAATAGTGCTTGGGTTTTTCTTTTTTTTATTAATATTTTGTCGTTTTGTGCTACATTTTGCAGATGCAGCTTCTGTAGGAGTGAACTACGGCAGAGTCGCCGACAATCTTCCGTCGGCGTATAGGGTGTCGCAGCTTCTTAAGTCCCAGGGCTTGGAGCGGGTCAAGGTCTTCGACTCCGACCCGGCCGTGCTCCGAGCTCTCGCCGGATCCAACATCAAGGTCACCGTCGACGTCCCTAACGAGCTCCTTTCCTCCGTCGCCAAATCCCAGTCCTTCGCCACCAACTGGGTCCAGCGAAACGTCGTCGCTTACCACCCCAACACTGAAATCGAAGCCATTGCGGTCGGCAACGAGGTCTTCGTCGACACCCACAACACCACCAAGTTCCTCATCCCCGCCATGAAAAACATCCACACAGCTCTCATCCACTTCGACATCCACTCCGCTATCAAAGTCTCCTCCCCCATTGCCCTGAGCGCCCTTCAAAACTCCTACCCTGCTTCCGCCGGGTCATTCCGACCCGAACTTGTCGAAACCGTTTTCAAGCCCATGCTCGAGTTCCTCCGTCAAACCGGGTCCTACCTCATGGTCAACGCCTACCCTTATTTCGCTTACGAGTCAAACGCCGACGTCATCTCACTAGACTATGCTCTCTTCCGTCAAAACCCTGGTGTAGTTGACGCCGGTAACGGTCTCCGTTACTTCAGCCTCTTCGACGCTCAGATCGACGCCGTTTTTGCTGCCATGTCGGCTTTAAAATACGACGACATTAGCATGGTCGTATCCGAAACCGGCTGGCCTTCCAAGGGTGATGAGAACGAGGTTGGTGCTAGCTTGGAGAACGCAGCTGCGTACAACGGCAACCTCGTCCCCCCGCGCCCGGCGTCTATCTCTTCGCTCTGTTTAACGAGGACAGGAAAAACGGTCCCACATCGGAGAGAAATTACGGCCTCTTCTTCCCCAACGAACGCAAAGTTTACGACATACCGTTTACTGTTGAAGGGTTGAAGAACTACCACGACCACCGGTCGCCTGTCGCTGGAAACCAACACATGACCGCACCGGTCAACGGTGGTGGTGACGTGTCGAAGAGTTTGACCGGGAACACGTGGTGCGTGGCGAATGGTGAGGCGGGGAAGGAGAAACTGCAGGCGGCTCTAGACTACGCTTGCGGTGAGGGCGGGGCAGACTGCCATCAGATCCAGCCAGGCTCCGCGTGCTACGATCCTAACACACTGGAGGCCCACGCATCGTACGCTTTCAACAGTTACTACCAAAAGAAGGCACGTGGGGTCGGCACGTGTTATTTTGGCGGGGCGGCCTACGTGGTCTCTCAACCACCCAGTAAGTACTTTACAGTCATTTAATCTCATTACGCACTGGTGCATGTTAGTGAAATAATATGGTTATGGTACTAAAATGCGCTGCCGTGTGAAAATTTGACTCTTGGTCCACGAGATGTTGGGAAAATGGTGCATGCGAGGTCAAATGACGTCACGTGATATGATTTATTTGGGGTTGTGTGTTGTCTTTTACTGTTTACACATCGGTGTTACCGCGGGTAGATTGGAGAAAGGAGCATTGATTTTGCTTTATATTGATCTGCTTTTTTGGGTAAAATATAATGATGATGTTTTTATGTTTTTGGTTGCAGAGTATGGGAAATGTGAGCTGCCCACTGGATACTGAAGCAGGCAGGCAGACCGGAGGAGGGTTTTATTTAGTAATTTTGGGGGCAATGGGGTTTTAGCCTAATTTTGCTGAAGTAGGGTTAAAATGAAATTCTTTGTGGTAGTTTCGTTTTGTATGTATTGTTGGGTAGTTTAGTATGCTACTTTGTATTTCAGACTATTTAACTTTGACTATTATTATGTTAATAACTTTATACTTAATCTCTGTTATTTTTATGAGTTGTATTTAGATAATTTGATGAGTTTGAGTTGTGTGGAGGAGACTCTGAGTCTGAACCGGGCACGTGAAAAACAATTGGGGTACTGATGGCTGCCAAGAGAGCTCATCCGTGGATACGTATAGCTGTATAGCCTTGTCTTGTAGGAAAGTTCTATTGGACATTTTTTGGTTGGATAAGTGAAGGGAATGCCACAAACTCAGCTCTCTCAAACCCTTGCACATTTTCGAGTGTGCCCGTCGTTCCCGTCACCTTCACCTTCACGTGGTGTTACTAAATAATGACAATTAAGCATGAACATGCCTAGCTTAAATCAGATTAGATTATGGCGGTGCAGTACTCAAATCAGTGGCATGGTATTTTAGTGCAAGGGGCATCATCACCCTAAACATTACAGCTAAAAATAAATTAGGAGTAATAATATGGTGATGCTGCTTTGTGTGTGTAGCTGGCTATGAGACAAATGACAACAAATATGCATCTTACTGAAAAGTAGGTACAGTACAATTTTCTTATTTTACTCCCAATCGACGAAGGCCTTTCACGACTACCCAAAAGGTGTCCCGATTTTTCTCGCAACTTCTGGTTCTCCCATGTGATATAGGGACCACCCCTCTCTATTTTCACGTTTCATCGCACTACCCACTACGGTACATTGAACCACTCATGCGGTCTCACTTCTGATATCAATGTGCTTGGGCTTTTTGCTGAGCTCATTTACTGGGCTTACTGGATCGCCATGAAGAAGACCAAGTGTCTTGAGTCCATATGAACTTGGTTTGGTGGGTATGTGCTTGTGTTCTTCATGATGGCCGAAAACATACTTCTTGAGGAGGTGGTTTGATCAACAACTCTATAGTGAGGGACTTATATATGACTCTTAGGTGATGCTCTATTTTTTAACCGTTGAATCAAATTGGTTAGCATAATCCAACAGTTAAGAGATATAATGGTTAAAAAGACGAATTCATAATGGGTCAGTTTATGAGTGGGCATCTCATTTGAATTATCCGCGTACCAACCGTACCATACTGAGGGTTTGGCTGGGTTTGGTTAAATAATTATTTTTAAAATTTTAATTATTTCGATTCAATTCGTACCTTTGGTTTGGTTAACGGAAACAATATTCATAACCCGACGGAAACCCGTACTGATCCGATATTTATACTTATTCTATTATTTAAATACAAAACAAGAAATTCAAGATAAATACAATCAACATTTTGTATCATTATTTTATTACTACTGTATCACTTCTTTATCACCATTGTATCATTGCTTTATCACCCAGGTACTGTAGCACTTTTTGGTCAGAGAGGAAGTTATGAATTTCCTATGTTTTCCAATTTCGACATTTGTCTGGTTTTTTCACCTGTAACTTTCCAACCGTTGATCCAAATTTTATGTTCTTTATATGGTTGGATTCAGCATAAAAAACTAAAAAATCCAACCTAAAATAAAAGTCAAAATCATTTACATAAATATAGAGAATTCAGTAAAAATAGCACTCATATGTTCAAACAACAAATACAAGTAGCTCTCAGTACATCTTGAGTATATATTGAATGATATAGTGACTAAGTTATTTGATTTCACACTTGGATGAATTAGACTATTGGATTTTTATATTTTCCAAGGATAATTTGGTGTATTTGTTTAAGAACTTATGTGAAAGTATTATAAATTGTATTTTTATTAGTATGTTTTTAAAACGGTATTACCGGCGTACCGAACCAATCTGAATCAAATATTAGGTTAACCGATCCGAAGTATACCGAAGTATTTAGTTCGGTTAACGGAAGAGAAAATGGTCTACCGAAGTCTTTAGTTTGGTTAACGGAAGAGTCTTCTACTGTTCCGAACCGATCCGTGCCCATGCCTAGGTCAGTTATCCAGGAATTAAAATACCACATTCTACCCAAGAATTGAATTCCTCTAAAATCAGAAATTCAATTCCTAACTTTGTGTGGGCTCCACTTACTTTTCAATTCCTTAATGTAAATTAAACACAGGAATCCTCCATAGGTGGAATTCAATTCCAGATGAGAATTCCAATTCGTGATTAGTAAACATATCATCAATTCAATTCCTCCTAATTTAATGACGAATTAGTAAATATGCCATTAATGGAGTGGAGCATTGCACCAAGCATGTGGTTGGCTAGGAATGTTATGTTAGGATGGGCTAGCCATATGCACGGTCGGCCACTAAGAGCATCTCCACCCACAAGGGCTAAGTCTAAGGCAAGGGCAAGCAAGGGCTGCCACTATTCACATGAATAGTGTCAGCCTTGCCATTTGCAACTCCACCCATGAGGGCAAGGTCTAGGGCAAGTCAAAGGCAAATACTATTCATTGTACTTCATTTTCTATTTTTTTTTTATACTTTAAACCATTAATTTTGATAATCTTTTGTAATTAAATTTTTGGATAAAAAAATATTGGATGTAGAAGAATTGTATGAAGATTTGGTGTGGAAAGTAAATAAAATGGTTAGGTATTTTATAGGGAAAAAATACAGAATTTTTTGGTTTTTTTAAAAAAAAATTTCAGAATTTTTTTGCAATTTTTTAAGCCAAAAAAACGAGGACCGTCGGATTTCTGGGAAAAAAAACTATCGGAGCGTCCCTGTCGCGACACGTGGCACAACGGTAAAGAAAAAATTGAATTTCTGCGCGCTGACGTCACAAAACTCGGGCTGAAGCCTAGGCAGAACTTGCCCTTGGGCCTGCCCGGACTGGTGGGACCCAGGGCTTGCCTGGGCTGCAGGTGCTGCGCTGGAGTGCGAAACTGGGCTTTGGGGGGCCTTTTGCCCGGGTTATTGCCCAGCGCTGGACATGCTCTATGTGAAGCAACATTTACCTCAACAAGCGGACAATATTTATTTATTTATATTCATCACTTCAGATGTTCATAGCTTAGTAAATTTAAGTTTCTATTATATTTTTAATTTATTCGAGCTTTCCATTGTTGATCACTTGTGCCTCAATCTTTTCCTCACTGATGTTGTAGTTGACGATTAAAGCTCTTCGTTTCATCTGAGTCTCAGTAGGGAGCTTTACGTCTGTTGCCAAACCAATAGCTTCAAGAAATCTTATGACATACCAAGTAACATCAACTTGCCACCATTCCAGGCCGTGCCGAGCTGATTGTTCAAAAGCATGGTGATTATTGTGCCAACCTTCTCCATGTGCCATCAATCCAATTAACCTAAAACACATTCAAATTCATTCATTATATTGACTAAGAGAACATCATATCTAAATGAATATAGAAGCTACTATACATACCAGTTGTTTCTGGACAAATCACCAGTATCCCACACCACTTGTCCCCATGTGTGGCAAATAGAATTGATCCCAAATGTAGCGTGGAGAAAAACTACCGACCTCACACCCTACAAACATCAAATGTGTAAGCCTTTTGACAAATTAGTACGTGGAAGAAACCCATTATTTACAAGAACCATATTTTACCAGTCCCCAAACCAAAAAGGGTAGTCCTCCCACAGCATACAGCACAACACCAAAACCAATTGCATGAAGGGGGTACGTATAGTGAAGAAATATATAGAACGGTTCCCTTTTCAAATCTCCAACGTTCTTTAGTCGTGCTTCATACTGTAAATTTTCAAAGTAGTATGTCAATATTTTCCATGTTGGGTTAACCGGATGTATACAACTTTGTGTTTTGATCATTTTAATCACATGATTAAGAACATTAATATTGTGTGCAACTGGTGAGAGATAAAGAATTTCATACACTTCCAAATCGAGAACGATAATCGAAGATCCAACCCATGTGACTATACCAAAATCCCCGAACGGGACTATGAGGGTCTTTCAATGTGTCTGTAAATTGGTGGTGAGATCGGTGTATGCTCACCCATTCAAGTGGACTTCTCTGCAAACAGATTCAACAGGATGAATGAGTCTATATATATATATATAAAAAGAAAGTTTTGTTCTACTAAAATTACAAAGATAAATACACACCTGAAATGATAGAACAGCACAATAGGCAAACAAGTATTCAAGCCATTTGGGAAGCTTAAAACTCCGGTGAGAAAGCTGCCTATGGTAAGACAGATTCACACTAACACCTGTGACAAAGTAGAGAGCCACAGCTGCCCAAAATGCAGGCCAGTTGAAATGAAATGGAGCCAAAAGTGTAAGGCAATGCAGACTCAAAACCACAACCACTGATCCTATGTCCACGAAGTTCCACTCCCTCCCCAAAAACTCCACCCTCCACTGCGTCACCCAATCTCCCATTTGGAGACACAACCGATGCTGCTTCTGTTGCTTCTTCTTTGTGATGAGTAGCAACTTTTGGTTCCAATACGGTTGTTATGACAAGATTGCATGGGAATGAATGAAGGTGTTTGCGTATTATATAAAGACTAAACGGTGGTCGTAGTCTGATCTGAAGTTGGTTGGGCCATGCAATTTCTTTCTCGATATATTTTTTAATTCAGAACAATAATGCCAAGAGCGCCAAATTAGGTGTGCGTTAGTTGGGCGTTGGTTTAGTACCTTTATCAAATCCTTTTTCTTTTTTTTTTTCCTTTCTATATAATGCGTATATCTCTTTCAACGCTAGAAAAATGAGATATTGCAAGGGGTTTTGTAGCTTAATTGGTTAAAGGTATTTATATGGTTCGTTTTCCCTTATTTTAATATTGCTTATATCAACCGAAAAAAAGGGAGAAATTAATAGGGGAGATGGGACACAAGATCTTAATGGGCTACGTATGTAAGAACGTACTAGTATTTTTTTTTTCTTTTTAATTTGATATGCAAAGTGGTGAGTGAAGTCTCGTGGGCTATGATAGCCTGGCTCAGCCATCCCTAACTCAGTCATAGCAAATTGCTTGCTTGCGGAATGAAAAGGACACTCAACTGCTAGAGGTTGAAAGCAAGCCATAAGGCCCGAGGGAAAACAAAGCAAAATTGGCCCCACAGGAGAAGGAAAACAAGAACCAAAGGCAACTAATTAATTAATGACTGCCCTTCACAGCCACAAGAAGCACCAAAAAAACTGACTTCCCAGATTTCCCAGTTCCCAGTTCCCACAAGAACAATTTAAAATCTAAATCAAGTAAGGACGTTAATGCCTTTGACAAATGGTTTGATCAAAACCCCCAACAAAATCATCCACTATTGTAGGCCAAATTTGACAAAAGTTTGATAAAAATAACAAGCTGCCGACGGCATTGCATCTTATGTTTGATTTTCCTCTTCTCTAATATAACTTGTATAAGAAAGAAAAAAACATAATTAAACAAAAATAGAATGAAAACCGTTCAAATTTCAGGTGAGCCAATGAGTGAGAAAAATAATGAATCGTTGCATTATGCATGTATAGGTGGCCGGCCAAGTACCCAAACATTGTATTCGATTAAACCAACGCCCAACTAAGTCCAAAACTATGGTTTTTCTTCTTCAAGTGATCACAAAGTCAAAAGACGACTATACATAGTTGTCAATCTGGTATCAGCTATCATCAGCTATGCGAAGCCATTTTTATGGTGGCTCAGGCTGTTTAGTGTAAATATTATTTGATTATATATTGTTTTTTTACTTTGTAAATTTCGGATGTGGGACGTATATTCTTCAACAACGAGCTAGTAGTAAATTGAGATGTAATACATTATATATACACACCTTCACATTTTATTCTCTAACAATGAGCTAGCAGTAAAACAGAGCCCCAACCTTTTCTTTTTGCGTACTTTTTTCTACTTTTGCTTCAAGCTCTCCTCATTGATCTTATTGCATAAAGCTCTTCGTTTTTTCTGAGTCTCAGTTGGAAGTTTGACATCCGTTGCCAAACCAACTGCTTGAAGAAATCTGATCAGATACCAAGTAATATCAATTTGCCACCATTCAAATCCGTGTTGAGCTGAGTACTCAAAAGCATGGTGGTTATTGTGCCAACCCTCTCCGTGTGCCATCAATCCAATTAACCTAATTAAACAGTTGTTAAGTTCATTAATTGCAACAACTATTATCCACGTAAATAAAAATTATAAATATATATATTTTTAATTTCATTCATGCAATTAATATTGGAGAAGCTAAATACCAGTTGTTTTTCGACAAATCACCAGTATCCCATACTTGTTGTCCCCAGGTGTGGCAAATCGAATTTATTCCGAAAATAGCATGGAGAAAAAGTACTGTCCTCACACCCTACAAATATATATATTTTTAAAGGCCAATTAAATAAATGCAAAAAAGAAAAAGAAAAAAAGATTAACACTTGCAAATTAAGTTTACCATTCCCCAAACCAAAAAGGGCATGCCTCCTTTGGCGTACAATAAAATTCCAAGAGCAACTGAGTGAAGAGGGTACGTATAATGAAGAAATCTATAGTATGCTTGGCTTTTTAAATCGGCAACGTTCTTTAATCTTGCTTCATACTGCAACATTTTAAATTTTTAATCAAGATCAACTAAACTAATTATTGATCTATTATAACTTGAGAGAGAGATATATATTAGATTAGAGAGAGAGAGAGAGAGAGGGTTTTATACACTTCCAAAGCGAGTACGATAATCAAGGGCCCAACCAACGTGACTGAACCATAGTCCCCTTATTGGACTGTGGGGATCATTCCACGTGTCAGTATACTGGTGGTGGGCTCTATGTATGCTCACCCATTCAAGTGGACTTCTCTGCAAACCAATAAACATAGATATATATATATATATATTTGTCTGCTAAAACCATGAATTAAAAAACAATAACATAGAAATGTTAGATTTGAACAAATTAACACCTGAAAAGAGAGAACCCCACAATAGGCAAAGAAGTATTCAAGCCATTTTGGAAGCTTGAAACTCTTGTGTGAGAGGTTCCGGTGGAAAGATAGAGTCACACCAACGCCGGAGATATAATAAAGTGCCACGGCCGACCGAAACGCCGGCCAGGTGAAATAAAACGGCGCTAGAACAGCAAGGTAATGCAAATAGACGAGGCCAGCCAAGGTGGCTAAGTCCACAAAGTTCCATTGCCTCCCCATAAACTCAACATGCCACTTCACCAACCAACGATCCCAATCGATCATTATTGCCACACCAAATATTTCTTTTGCTTCTTCTTCTTCTTCTTTTTCTTGTGCTTCAATTCGTAGCAAGTTTTGCTCCACGTACGTAATGAGGATATATGCATGCATAAAGAGTGCTAAGAGAGTGGAGCTCGCAGATGACTGCACTCATTCTTTTCTTTATAATTACGTTAGATGTTGAAGAACGGAAGAGTAGTCTTTGCCCCTAACAATATTACAAGAGCATTCACAAAAAGCATGAGTTTGAAAAGAAGTGGAAAACGGAAGTCTTTGCCCTAGCTAGCACCAACTAAAACGCAACAGTATATTCATTCCAACTGCCGTATATTTCACCTCATTACAAGAAAAAAAAAAATATATATATAAAATGTTAATTTTTAGAGAGACGGGTCAGCGGCTCACTAATAGCAATACTAATATTGTCCACAACTTAACCACCTTAAAACTCAGTATGTGTGGAATTTTATCATAAAAGGCCTCGCGGTTTAATAGAATCATTCATTATATTTTATATTTTATTTAGTTAAATTTCTGAAATGGCACTCATATTCTTCAACAAATATCAGTATACTATATATTATAGCTAGGTTGCCAGATAGATTGGGGAAGAAAAAAGTTGGTTAATTTTTTGCCTATTTGCAGTCACTCATTGTCTTGGAACTACCAAGTTGTGGGAAAAAATGTATGTTTTTCGGCAAAATTAATAATGTTCTTTTCTGAATTATAAATTGTACCGTACTTTTGTAGGTGAAGATTGTAATATTTCATTAATCATATATAGCTTAGAGTGGAGTCCAAATCACCTTTGGCTTTAAGATGCGCTTAGCCATTTGTTTTTGTATTTGTTTCTTGGGCCAGACTCTGACTAACATAAATTCAACCACAAACCCCTAGCTAAGAAAACAATTAACAAAGACCCTTCATTATAGCCTCCCGGCAAAACATATACTTGATACAAGTAGTAGACTATGGCCCAACGCACTCATTATAAATATCGTAACTTTGAACATTGAGAAGAGAAAATATCATCAGATAAATATTTACGTTGTCAAATGCTATAATGTGTTTATAATTTGATTTACGCACCCAATAATTATCTTTTTAGAAAGTGAGTTTATAATTTGTATTGTTGCAGTTTTATTTTGGCCCAAGTGATGAAAGTCAACATTAAAAAATAAAAATAAAATCATAAAGTCAAGGACAACAAACGTACATGTGATAATAAAGAACGGGTGGGGGGATGTTCCATACCAAGCGACATTCAGATTCCAAATATTTATTTCAACCTTCCTCACTTATTATTATTATTTTTTCCAATACTGCATGAATTTACAAAAATGAAAATTCTAAAGATGAAAAACTTCTGCTCTGGTTTATATATATATTTTAATGAAAACTGCGAAGACTGGGGCATGAATGCATATGCATGCACGGCTAGATGGGCATAATTCATTCGACCATGAAACACATGGCCATAGATGACATGACATTGCTCTTGACATGAAACACATGGCGATTTATCCAGAAACAACTGGTATTGAAGCAAATTGATATTACATAGATATGTGTGTGATTGAAACTGTACTCTCTAATTTACATAGGCAATATGAATTTGAATTTGAATTTGTTTAGGTTAATTGGATTGATGGCACATGGAGAAGGTTGGCACAATAATCACCATGCTTTTGAGCAATCAGCTCGGCACGGCCTGAAATGGTGGCAGATTGATGTAACTTGGTATGTAATAAGATTTCTTCAAGTGGTTGGTTTGGCAACAGACGTAAAGCTCCCTACAGAGACCCAAAAGAAACGAAAAGCTTTAAGCAATAACTACAAGATCAGCGAGGAAAAGCTTGAGACAAAAGTGATCAACAATGGAAAGCTTTGAAGTTTGGAGATGGAAACGCTATGAACCTTATTTCGCTATGCAGCGCCTATATATATGCTTTTAAGATTACTTAAGTTTACTTTCGTCAGTATATATATATGTGTGTGTGTGTTATATAACTTATAATTGTGTGAATAAAACAAACATTATATATGCTGATATTGTATGAACGTTGATGTATGCATATAAGTGTGTATGAAGATTATGATTGTTGCATAATCCGAAATTGCCATGGTAACCAGTGTAGAAAAGAAGAAGAACACAGAATAAGAGAAGTTTAGGCAGCAGCTACCAAACCAGGGTACAAAATCGACCGATTTGAGTTCACAGTAGTTGATGTGAGAATGTGAAGAAATGTCTCATATTTTGGAAAGTTGAGAAACTTAGCAAGGACTTTTAAGGAGTTGAGATACTCCCCCAATTGCCAATTGATTTTGGGGTGGAACCTCAACTTCATTCAGTTGAAAGGTTGAATTCGTAATCGAATAAGCAAGTTAATGTAACATAGCTAGTAGCAAATCTTCATTATTGTTTTCAGAAAACCACTAACCCTTACATTGAGTTCAATCTTATAACTGTGAGGGGTTTATAGATTAATTGTGGGTATTAATTTAACACATTATTATATATCTTGTTTCGTCTTACTTTTCATGTTGGTATTGTGTTTACTATAGAAAGTCACGTCGTTTCAGGAAAAAAAAAACATTTGAACTTGAAACTCTGAAACTCACATAGTACTCTGATATCAGTACATAAAAAGTAAATATCACATAGTATTCTGAAATGTACCCTTTTTTATTTATTGATGATTGGCATACGCTGTGTATGATACACATGCATGCTTGATTGATTTTCAATGGGGTCTACACCATTGATATATTCTTATCTATTGTTTAGCATCTGTGTGTTTGTCTTTGCTCCAGGCCCCATCACTTGTTAGTTGTTCTTCTGCTGCTGCATCTAAACAAAATACATTTAACCTTCTTTCTTTGAATTAGCCAACCGCACCCCAGGCCCAGGGATATTACTTTCTCTCAATACTTGGCCATGAAAACAAAGACAAGATTTGGCCACGACACAACATGGCTTATGGCTATAGATGACGTAACATGCTGACATGCCCTCTCATTTGATAACAATTGTTAAGAGTATTTGTCCCACATTGAAATGTTAAGGGACTTAGTCTAGATTTATAAGGAGTTGAGTACTCCCCTCATTGCCAATTAATTTTGGGATAGAACCTCAACTCCTTATAAATCCAGAGTCGTAGGTCCCTACCTCTCACCCTCTCCCTATCTCTAAACACTTTAACTTAAGAACAAGGTCATTTTTAAATATATATATATATATATATATATATATATATTCAAAGAAGACCTTGTTCTTAAGTTAAAGTGTTTAGAGATAGGGAGAGGGTGAGAGGTAGGGACCTACGACTCTGGATTTATAAGGAGTTGAGGTTCTATCCCAAAATTAATTGGCAATGAGGGGAGTACTCAACTCCTTATAAATCTAGACTAAGTCCCTTAACATTTCAATGTGGGACAAATACTCTTAACAATTGTTATCAAATGAGAGGGCATGTCAGCATGTTACGTCATCTATAGCCATAAGCCATGTTGTGTCGTGGCCAAATCTTGTCTTTGTTTTCATGGCCAAGTATTGAGAGAAAGTAATATCCCTGGGCCTGGGGTGCGGTTGGCTAATTCAAAGAAAGAAGGTTAAATGTATTTTGTTTAGATGCAGCAGCAGAAGAACAACTAACAAGTGATGGGGCCTGGAGCAAAGACAAACACACAGATGCTAAACAATAGATAAGAATATATCAATGGTGTAGACCCCATTGAAAATCAATCAAGCATGCATGTGTATCATACACAGCGTATGCCAATCATCAATAAATAAAAAAGGGTACATTTCAGAATACTATGTGATATTTACTTTTTATGTACTGATATCAGAGTACTATGTGAGTTTCAGAGTTTCAAGTTCAAATGTTTTTTTTTTCCTGAAACGACGTGACTTTCTATAGTAAACACAATACCAACATGAAAAGTAAGACGAAACAAGATATATAATAATGTGTTAAATTAATACCCACAATTAATCTATAAACCCCTCACAGTTATAAGATTGAACTCAATGTAAGGGTTAGTGGTTTTCTGAAAACAATAATGAAGATTTGCTACTAGCTATGTTACATTAACTTGCTTATTCGATTACGAATTCAACCTTTCAACTGAATGAAGTTGAGGTTCCACCCCAAAATCAATTGGCAATTGGGGGAGTATCTCAACTCCTTAAAAGTCCTTGCTAAGTTTCTCAACTTTCCAAAATATGAGACATTTCTTCACAACAAGCTTGAAAGGCTGTAGGACAAAATTATGGTCTCGTTAAAACATTGTCTTACAAAGCCTTATCCAACTTGAAAATTCAGTTATTTTAACCTTACAAAGCCTTATCCAACTTGAAAATTCAGTTAAGGAAAAAGAGTATCACTGCCCTCCCAATTACACATATATCAAAAATACAATCCAGGACATTTCCCTATATATCTTGATCCAGACTTGAATCTAGCCAACATCTTCACACAAAAACCTTGTGCCCTCCTTCAAACCAAAATTGAGCAAGTGCATGCGCCACCCTATTGCTCCTTCTAGGTTTTGATACACCACATCTAATTTCCAGCTTGCTTGGCTGCTCTTGGGCTTGGGCTCTCTATTGGTTGCCACTTTTTTCACAGCCCGTTTGATGAGCTGGTTCTTAATTTGTAAGTTGACAACCTCCTTGGTGTCTCTAGGCCCAGCAGTATTAATTCTTGCTTGTGTGAACAAATAACAATGCTAAAAATACTTACATTCCTTGCATATTTTTATTAGAAAAAACTATAATAAAGGCATCTTACAAAGCAATAGCAAAAATATTCATAGCTGAAATTAGAGTCTCCATTATTTAATTGTTTAGATTAGAGTTTTCCATTGTTGACTATTGTTTCAAGCCTGTCCTTGCTGATTTTTTTCTTGTACAAAGCCTTCCGTTTCTTCTGAGTCTCTGTTGGGAGTTTCACGTCTGTTGCCAAACCAACAGCTTGAAGAACTCTTATGACATACCAAGTAAGATCGATTTGCCACCATTCGAAGCCTTGTCGAGCTGAGTACTCAAAAGCATGATGATTGTTATGCCAACCTTCTCCATGTGCTAGCAATCCAAACAACCTAAAACAGAAAAATTGGAATTCAATATACATTTACTATTTCCCAATGAAATTAGAAATTGTATTAGAGTGCAATGAAGCTGCAAATACCAATTGTTTCTGGACAAATCACCAGTATCCCATACTTGCTTTCCCCATGTGTGGCAAATTGAATTTATTGCAAAAGTAACGTGGAGATAAAGTATTGTCCTCACACCCTGAAAAGAATGAAAAACCAAGTGATTAATCGTAAGAACAAAAAGAAAAAGAAAAGACCATTTGTTCAACAAGAAAACAGTAGGCGCAATTTTACCAAGCCCCAAACCAAAAACGGCAGGCCTCCCACGGCATGCAGTAGAAATCCTAGCGCAAGTGAGTGAAAAGGGTATGTACAATGAAGAAATATATAGTAGGGCTGGTTTCTTAAATCTCCAACGTTGTTTAGTCGTCCTTCAGTCTGCAAAATTTCACAAGCACATAGGCACAAAAATATTAGTTTCAACAAAATTACTATTAGAATGTTTAAGTGAGAGAGAGAGAGAGAGAGAGAAAAGGCTTACACTTCCAAACCTAGAACCATAATCAAAGATCCAACCAATATGACTAAACCAGAATCCCTTAATAGGGCTATGAGCATCGTTCCACGTGTCGGTAAATTGGTGGTGGTATCTGTGAGTGCTCACCCATTCAAGTGGACTTCCCTGTTAACAAAGTCAAGTTAGGTTTAGATTCACAGTTTAACAATATAAACATCGTGAGAGGCGAACTAAGAGCATTCACAGTGATAGGTGTAAATTCGAGAGTGTAAAGTCACTTTTACATCCCCTTTACACCTCTGGGGGTGTAAATATGTTTTTTGTTCCAATAGAAGGGTGTAAATTCGGGGTGTAATCGTGAGTCCCAGCCTTTTATGTTGACTTTTCTTCTTCTTTTTTTCTCTTTTCTCGAGTGGATTCCGCATGCAAGGGATGTAAAAATAGATGTAAATATACATTTTATTTTACATTCCTATAGTAGTGATGTATATTTACATCTATTTACATTTGCCCATTAAAGACGATTTCGATAACTCGAAGTGTATATTTAACATATATTTAACATACATCCCCACATACCCCCCACTGAATGCTTTAACCAAACGGCATTTTTCCAAGGAAAAGCCTCTACAAAAAGTTTTCTTAATTAGAATCATATGTACTTAAGTCACAGAGACCTGAAGTGCCAGAGTGCCGCAATAGGCAAAAAAGTATTCAAGCCATTTGGGAAGCTTAAAACTTTTGTGGGAAAGGTTTCTGTGGTAAGACAAAGTTACACCAAGACCTGTAAGAACATACAGAGCCATGGCCAACCAAACAGCACTCAAATTGAACTGGAATGGTGCTAAAAGAGCAAGGCAATGCAACGCCAAAATGACAACCACCGAGGCTATGTCCATGAAGTTCCATTGCCTCCCCAAAAGTTGGACCCTCCACTTCACCAACCAATAGTACCCCGCTGCCTCTGCTCCCTCTTCCTGCTTCTTCTGCATGGCGATTAACTAGCTATAGAAACTTATGGCTCCACTGTAGAATAAAGAGATTGTGGTGAAAATGAGAAAACTCATTTCACCTAAGCTTGTTTTATACAATTTGAAGCCTTTATTATTACCGCTGTGTGCATAATTACATGTATCCATGTCAGCCTGACTTTTTATCAAACAATATTTAATATCTGCAGGCCATCATTAAGAAGTAAGGAGGTGAGGTAGAGCACGTCATTTGGTAGCTCATTTTCTACCCACCCACATGGGCTGTCTCATCATCACATTAAAATCTCTGTTTTTTGGGAGAAAATGAAGAGCAGATATTATAATGTGTGATTAATTCTGCTTCTGTATAGGTTTCAGAGTCTGAAACCAGCTTTATAATTTATAGGCTTAATTGCTGATCTATTTTGCCTCCTTCATCAAAGTTTGGAGTTTCACGTTGCCCACTACTATCAACTTCATTCAAAGTTTCGTTAAGCCATCTCCAATAGTTGAGGCTCTTAAAATGGTTTATAGAGTCTCGTCTAGAGCTTCGATGAAATCTTTGAGGCTCTAAAAGAATTTCTCCCACAACGAGAAGCTCTATATTCATAGCGGGTTCTATATTTTTTTATTATGTAATTTAATTTATGTGGTTTTTTTTATTAACTATTTTACTTTAATGTTTATTCACGTTATGTTAGTTTTTTTTTTTTTTGTGAACATTTCAACAACAAAAAAATCAAAATTTGGACGAGATTTGGAATAGAGCTGTTCAAAACAACTTTGCAATTTTGGTTCATGCATGTTGACCGTTGGAATAGAGCTGTTGAAACAATTGAATTTTGGTTCATGCATGTGAGCCAAAATGCAATGAACAGCCAAGTTTTTAGCAAGTTGATCATGTACAGTCGGCAGCAAGTGGGAAATCAAACAAAAGTGGGCTGCAGCTTTTTCAATTGGTGGGTCTCATTAGGTTTCAAGGGCTTCAATTAAGCTTACATATTTAGCTACTACTTCGATTGGGCTTTAAGTTTTATAACCTTAAATTTGCACTATTGGAGATGCCTTTTTAGAGAGAGTTTGTATATATTGGAGCCTTGTGGTGGTTGAGCTCCAAATAGAGCCCCCATTGGAGATGGCTTTAAGTTTGATAATGTTGCAAGGGTATTTTAGTGGGATTTAATAACTTTCACCTCATTTATATTATTACACTTTATCTTTGGTGGAGAAGTTGTATTTTAACTATGCATGATGTTGATGTAGAATGGTAAAGTTTTAAATAATGCTGGGAAGCTGATTTTCTCACTCCTCTTTTCTTCACTTATACTCTTTTTAATTTTTTAATTACTTTTGTTCTTTTTTGTTCTTTCTCTTTAATAAATATTATGAAAGAATAAAAATATGAGACTATTATACATACCTTACTCTCTGCATAGCTCCTAATGACAGCTTGGTTAGTAGCATTCTTTGATTCTTTTACCATATGTTTTTTGTTTTATTTGTTTTAAATTTTTTTAAAATAAAAATAAATAAAAATAAAGAAAATAAGAGTGGGAAAATCAACTCTGTAATGTTATCAATATACCCATGCCAAGTGAGAGTTAAATATATAGTTTGCGTGTGGGTAGCTCTCTAATCTCTGAAAATCTCATAGCCGTACATGCATGATTATTGCTTCACTTCTTCAGCCTCTCCATTGCCCATCCCAATAAGTTCAAAACCCCAACAAGTTTGCTCTTGTCAGCTGTATTTATTATACATTGACTGACTTTATGGATTTTATGAGATATATATTAAGATATGTCCCCAATTTTTTATTATTAATCATCTGCCATGGTTGATATTGCATTCATTGATACTGCAATTCGGTCTGCACTCTGTTGAATGCCATTATGTAGCACCGCATTGATAAATTTTGCTCTATTAACATTTGATCAAATGCTAACGCGTCATGAAAAAGGACTTTGATTTGTAGATAAAATGTCTCAGGTTTGAACTTCATGTCATTGTGTATGTATGTGAGAAATTCTCATTCCCTCTAATTTAGACTATCGCTTGTACTAAAAAAAACTTTTGATCAAATAATATAGCAGTTATTCATTATGTTACATTTATCAGTGTATTATTTTATCAATGTCCATATTTTAGTCTTTTGATATTTTTTTATTCAATGGCTAAAAAGTATGTTGGATGTTTCTTTTTCTCAATAATATATATATATATATATATTTTTGCATTACAGAAAATTTTAGTTTTGAATTCAAAAGACAACTTGCAATAATGTTATAGGTCCTTCACCATGACATGGGCCACATTGTTTATGTCTACCAAAAACAAAAATAAAACACTTGATGAGAAACACGAATTAAACATCATGATTAAGATGATTCATACACAAAAACTCGTTCTCCACAAATTCATACTTATGGTGCATAAGTCTTCTTACAAAACAAATAACGAAAATGTAGATAGCATAAACGTTGAGTCTCCATTATTTCACTGCTTGGAGTTTCCCATTGTTGCCTACGGTTCCAAGCTTTTCCTTCTTGTTGATGACTTTGTTGTACAAAGCTTTTCGTTTCTTCTGAGCCTCAGTTGGAAGTTTGACCTCTGTGGCCAAACCAAGAGCTTGAAGAAATCGTATCAAATACCAAGTAGTATCAATTTGCCACCATTCAAGACCTTGTTGAGCTGAGTAGTCAAATGCATGGTGATTGTTATGCCAACCTTCTCCATGTGCTAGCAAACCCAACAACCTAATTAACAAAACTAAAATTCATTACACATTTGCTATTATACCCATCCAAGTTGGAGATTGTTGTCTTCCATCCAAATCCAACAGACATAACTGTACAGAAGGTTACAACAAAATATACCAATTGTTTCTGGATGAATCACCGGTTTCCCATACTTGCGTTCCCCATGTGTGACAAATCGAATTTATTGAAAAAGTAACGTGGAACATATAGACCATTCTTACACCCTGCAAAAAGAAAAGAGCATCATAGACTAATCAAAGTAATCGCTGTGATTGACAACAAATGAAAATGAGCAAAGTACGACTAGTATAGTGGTTTGGAGCATTTGCTCTCCCATAAAAGGTTTTGAGTTCGAGTCCTAGCATATGTGTAGTTTGTATGAATGTAACATATTATCGACCCTCTCAATGAAAGAGGTCCTTTAAAAAAAAACAAAAAACAAAAAGGCAAAGCCACCACACCATGCAAATTTTCTATTTGACCATTGATATTAGAGATTTTGCCCCATAATTAAGGAGGCATTTAATTTGTTTGTTCTTTCTTCACTTGATCAAAAGGACAAAATTAGTAAATAAGACCAATCTTACCATTCCCCAAACTAAAAACGGTAGCCCTCCTACGACATACAGTAAAACTCCAAGAGCCACTGAGTGAAAGAGGTATGTGTAATGAAGAAATATGTAATAGGGCTGCTTTTTCAAATCTCCAACATTATTTAGTCGTCCTTCGTACTGCAAAATTTCGAGATTTATGATTAGTTTAACTAAATTTTAATATTGGTATGTCTATTTACACGAGGCAAGTGTTTGAGAGATGAGAAAACTTACATGTAACAAGATCCTTACCTCCTTTCTGTATCTGTCATCACATGCTAAGTTACATGATGAAAGATACAAAGAGAAAGAACCAACGATGACGTTACAATAAAGTTTTAGCTGTGTGAGGGATATATAATATATATATATATATATATATAGAGAGAGAGAGAGAGGGGAGAAAAGAAGGGGGGGAAAGAGAGAGAGAGAGAGAGAGTACGTACACTTCCAAAACGAGAACGATAATCAAAGACCCATCCAATATGACTAAACCATAATCCCTTAGCAATGGGGCTATGAGGGTCGCTCCACGTGTCAGTAAATTGATGGTGATTTCTGTGTGTGCTTACCCATTCGAGTGGACTGCCCTACAAATCAAAGACAAAGTTGTAAAACATTTTTTACGTTGATGCATGTGGTTGCCACAATGCATCGATCAAGGACTCATAATCGACTCATGCGGTGTAAGTAACTGATGCTAGCATAACTTTTAAAAATTTATTCTACAAGGCACAAACCTGAAGTCCGAAAACCGCGCAATAGGCAAAGAAGTACTCGAGCCATTTGGGGAGCTTAAAGCTTTTGTGAGCAAGATTTCTGTGGTAAGATAGGGTTATTCCAACGCCTGAGATGGAATTGAGTGCAAATGGCCACCCAAACTGCACCCCAGTTGAAATGAAATGGTGCTAAAAGAGCCAGACAATGCAAAACCGAAACCACAATCACAGAGGCCACATCGAAGAAGTTCCATTGCCTCCCAAAAAGTTGTACCCGCCACTTGGCCAACCAAAAGTACCACTCTAGCATTGGTACAACCTCTGCTTCTTCTTTTTCCTTCTTCTCCATGGCTGCCTAGCTAGCTATACCAACTTTTGAGCCCCATGTTACTGAAACTTGAATTTTATAAGTCTGATTTTGGAGCCTTTATTGTTATATCGTATGGGTCGTCAGCTTGGCTTTAATACAAAATACTACTTTAAAAAAAATTAAATTTTAACCAGCCAATCAATCAGAGACGCAGAAGAAATAGAGCTGCCTGCCTGGAAAGCATGAAAACCAGAGGTATTTCCCATCCATAATCAAGTCTTAACGCGTTTCTGGCTGAACATGAACCAATAATGTCCTCTCTTTTTTTCTTCAGGTAAATAAATTGTATTGTTTTTTTTGTACAGTGATGGTAGAAATTTGAGTTTAAGTCTAAGGGCATCTCCGAGAGAATATGCAAAAGAAGTAGGCAACATTGTAATATAACAACCTAAGTGACATATTGCTTATCCATTTGCCTCATGGAAAACATTGGTTCCTCCTAGGAATTAGGCAATGCAATTGTACAAATCATTATCATAATGTTTATTTTTACCTTTTATATTTATTTGTGTATTTCACAAAAAGGAAGTGAGAGATATGAGATGATATTATAATATACTTGTACATTATTATTATTATTATTATTATTATTATAATAATATATATATATATATATGGGGCAAATCCGTGGCACCACAAATTTGACACAATTTTATAGCCTTTAGATGCAAGTACTTTCAAGGGCTAAGAATAAAT